CAACTCATTCGCCTCGGTTGGTTATACGAAAACGGAAATATGTAGAAACAAAATATTTTATGGGCATATGTGGGAAGACCATGTGCATAATTTAAAATTATTTTGAAATGTACAGGGTCTGTCAGAACTAGTTTTCTTGCAAACTTATTTGCTTGTACAGGGTGACCCAAAATAATAATATTATCAACTTTTCCAAAAAGCAACAACTACTTCACTTCTATGTTTTTTTATTCCCCAACTATAATTTAAAAAATATATAGGTACTAAAAGTCATATATCGTCGTAATATGGCATTTTACCGGGTGTTTTTCAAAAGTACCTTATCCCTATAACTTTTTTATTGTTTCTGAAAAAAAAGGAGATTTGGTATCGAGGGGTGTCTCACTTGGGTAAAAAATGTACATGTACTGCTAAAATATTTTACTACCAAGCGACTGCCAATGACTGCGAAGAAAACTGCCTATGTCTGCCATATAACAATTATAATCGATTGATGTCAATGATTGCCAGCGACAGCCAAAAAAATGTAGATGTAATTCCAACAGTGAGAAACCTCTCGTTTGGTATGTTAATTTGGTTCGGGCGTATTCAATTAGTTTTGGATGCTTCGTGTTTCACCGGAAATGACACAAACTTTTGATTTTTAAATGGTACCGTCGGTAATTTTTTACTTTATTTCATAGAAAGTGGCATTCTGAATAGAATGGTATATCATAATATGTCAATTTGAAAATATATATATAGTAATATGTCAATCTGGAAATGACAAAAACTTTTGATTTTTAAATTGTACCCTTAGTAATTTTTTACTTTATTTGATAGAAAGTGACATTATTGTCAAAAATTGATATGTCATTCTACCTAACATACCATTATGGAGTGTAGAGGTATGTGTATTACAACCAACGTTTTTTGTCTGAAAAAAATTAAAAAGTTATAGGGGTGAGCCACTTTTGAAAAACATCCGATATAACCCTTAATGTTCAGATACTCAATACTTAAGGATTCTGTTTCAATAGATAACAAATATCCACATTTTTCATTAATAAACCTACCACAAATGTATAGATATCAAAGTACCGTATCATCGAAAAACGGGCGTCAATTAACCTCTGAAACGACGATCGATGACATTCATATATTCATATATGTATGTAAAGGAAATATTTAAAAAATAGATTAATTGAAAAAGAACTAATATCTTACTAATGATGATTAACTTGCATATCAAATCATAGCAATATTTCGTTACATACTCAAGTGTGCGATATCTTAATAAAACTTAAGATAAAATGGAACACCACTATTTGGAAGATTGTTTAATAGACATAATTTTTGGTTTTAGTTGAATAAAAATATACATTTTACATTATTACATTATTTTATTTTTGTGTAGTTTAATATATTACCATGTTTCAATTTATTTACTGTCATATCTTAAAATTAATAAATATTATTATTGTTGGTACACCTAAAATTTACAAATTAATATTATAGTTTGAATAAAAATTATTATTAACACAAAATACAGATTCCACTTAATACACATACAAATATTATCTTACCTAAATGAACTTTGCCAGACACTTACTAGATAACACTTAGTTGTCGACTATGAACAAGAAATCACGACGTTTCTCTTTTTTATAGATACGGCAATCTCATAAATACCCACCTAAATAGCAAGGATTACAAGATATCTGTTTTGTACATATAGATACACACAATCAGAATAATCAGATACTATAAATCTTATCTGGCTGACGTAACGTCTTAAAATAGATATTCGGCGCAGCATAAAGTATCGCGGTTACCTTGAACAAAACGAATTGAATGTAGTATCTATGCGGTCTAAGAATCTATAGATAATAAATATTAACCTTCAGCATTTCATTAAATCTGGATACAGGAAAAATACTGTAGGGTTTAATAATAAGCCATAACTATAAAAGTTAATATCTATGTATCTGTTTTATAGCTTTATTTAGACAAGCATGATTAGTTCATTAAATACTTAGTAGATTCGTTATTCGTTCACATATATCTCCGTATTTTGATATTGGATATAATCTCTAACAAAGTACTTATATAAACGGATTTTTTTATAATTAAATATAAATCATATTGAAACCTCTTGGCGTCACAAGAGAAAATTATAGAAGCTTAAAAAGTCAGGAATACTGCTTATAAGAAACATAAAGTATGTCAGAAAATTTGAAAACACCTGAAATAGTCTCTTCTGTCGTTGGAGAGACTTTACATGGAATGCAAAGTCTGATTCTAGATTAGACTACATGCAACAAGTGACATTTACTTCTGCCTGAATATTTCAGAAATATACAAGTTTTGTCATTTATATTTTGCATATAGAAGTAGAAAAAAACAGTAGATAACTTTTAAAGTAACACTCATTTTTCTCCACGAAGAGAAATGCATTTTCCTCCGTTTGAACCTGTGGTTTGAACAAATTCTAAAAGCAGGTCTTGAGCGCCTTCAAATCTTTGAAGGCGCTCACTGGATCTTCAGGCTTCAGGGGACTGTACCCTTTGACCGCGCAGACCATTCTTAATTTTTGGAAAAGTAAAAAAATGTTTGGACTTAGGTCCGGGTTGTATGGAGGATAGTCCAACAATTCGATGTTTTCTTGCTTTAAAAACTCAATTATTTTTTGAGCTGGGTGGGAACTTGCACTGTTTTGGTGGAGGATCATTCTAACAAAAAAAATTATACAGGGTATCCCAATATTCCGTGGACATAGGATTACTACGTATTTTTAGAATCAAAAGAATCAAAATAAGTTTATTTGACACACAGATTTGACACAATTATCTATCTATACAAAAGTGCTTCGTTTGTCCCTTAGAGGGCATCAAACTTTAAAAAAATAAACACATTTTTAAGATATTTTAATAGCCGTTATTCCGATTTGAGTGAGATTTGGGGTGCCTATGTTTTGCTAAGCGCTTTAAAATTTGACTTTCACAAAAATCAAGAAGAAGTACGGCAACGATGAAAACTACCCCCACCCCTACATAAATTTTAGTTTTAGTATAAAAATATTTTCCAACTCAACCAGCATTTTTTTTTCGTAGAATGGTCCATGTAAAAAAACGCCACCGCGTACTTTTTTTTAGGAAAAAAAATATATTTTTCCAAAACTGACTTCCAAAAAGTGTTTTTGTCACATCAAGATAGAGGCGAATAATAGTATATTACTAAATACCAGAGGGCCCATTTTACGAGAAAAAAATCGGTCGTCGGTTGAGTTGGAAAATATTTATATTAAAATTTATGTAGGGGTGGGAGTACTTTTTACTCTTCCCGTACTTTTTCTTGATTTTTGTGTAAGTCAAATGTTAAAGCACTTACCAAAACATAGATACCCAAAATCTCATTCAAGTTGGAATAAAATTCTTAAAATATCTGAAAAATTGTGTTTATTTTTTTAAAGTTTGATGCCCTCTGGCGGACAAACGAAGCATTTTTGTATAGAGGTAAATTGTGTTTAATGAACTTATTTTGGTTCCAAAAATACGTAGTAGTTCTTTGTCCACAGAATATTAAGACACCCTGTATATAATAATAATGACATGTATTGACTATTTCCATTCTAAATATCTCGAGAACGGTTGCTCGTAACGATTTTTACAAAGAGATATTTTTTACGTAAAAAATAACTGAGATGTATATTTTTTCCCTCGGTAGTTTTATACAGGTACGGACAAAAAGTTATTACGTTTCAAACCAGTTAAAACACATGTAGGTGGCGCCCTCTACCAGTAGGAATCATATTGACATCAAAATCAAATTTCTCATATCAAAAAACTCCCAGACACCAATTTTCATCCAAATATTTACGTTACTGCAGAAATTATTTAGAAAAAATCGAAATAAAAATGAAACTTCTGCACCCTGTATCTCCGAAACTAAGCATTTTACGACATTAAATATATAAACAATAAAACGGTTTTTGTAGACGTATCTGTTTAAAAAAAAAATAAAATGTTCTCGAATAGTTGAATTTAAATATTTTAAATAGTTTTTTTCTTTATTCTTTCTATTTTTCTGCTTCCGACGGCGAAAAGAGATAAACTTTCCGAAACGTTAAGCGTTTTTTTGTTCGTTAGGCAAATTTGTTTCTGTAAACCTAACTGCTGACAAGTACCTATAGTTTCCGTTGGATTCACAGCGCTTTCAGAGCGGACCGTCCGCGACTTCGAGCAAGTACCATGAGTTTATATGAACAATTTCACATGGGTCGCATATGCTCCGTCCGGATGATTCGCCCGACGGCTATCTTGAAAAAACACGACGAAAGGTCCGTCGCGGACGATCCGCTCCATCTGAAAGCGCTGTAACGCAGCAGCGTTTACAAAAAATAACTATTTTATTTTGTAGATTTTCTTGCAGTGGCGAAATACCCATATAGAATTTTTTTCAAGTCAGTTTATTTTATTTAGTGTCTACTGAAGCACCTATTCAACAATTTTGTTATAAATGGATAGTATATTATTCATCTTTATATCTGTAATAATTATAATGACTGGGAAATTGCACGGCGCCATAATTTTAAAAGAATAATCTACCATTTCGATTACTAAGTAAATCTAACAGTGCACTTAAAAATAAAGTTCTTTAATTAGTATAACATCAATCATATCGTGCAATTCACTATAACTATTACAGTATAATATATTCCAAGTCATTATAACTATGACAGAAATAAAGATGACTAATATCATACTAACAATTTATAACATAATTGTTGAATAGGTGCTTCAATAGAAACTAAATAAAATAAACTGAGTTGGTTTCACATGAGATCTCACAACTTTTTTTAGTGGAAGAGTTACATTCTACGTTTTTAATAGGATAAACTATTTCCAGTAATGTCTTGAAATTACTGGCATAAACTAATTTTCGATAATAATAACACGCAGAAATATTAATATAAAATACTTTATTTTTAGGCTTCCACGTCATCTTAAAAAATAAACAATACAATTACATTACTATTACCATTTCTTAAATCCACCTCCTCCGCCACCGCCCCTATTAAATCCTCCCCTACCCCCTGAATTTCTATTAAAACCACCCCCTCCTCCTCCTCGTCCTCCTCCTCTACCTCCTGAACCACCCCAGCTTCCTCCGCCGCCTCCGCCTCCTCGCCCGCCAAAGCCACCCCTACCACCTCCACGACCCCCTCGATTCCCACCTCGTCCTCCTCTGTCCCCTCCAAAGCCACCTCTTCCCCCACGGCCACCTCCTCGTTTCTGTACTGATCCAGGCGGTCTCGGAAGAAACCTCTGTAGCGGTAACAGTTTGGCAGGATCAATAAATAACTGGAAAATTAAGGGTTTTTTAATATTAGCTAGAGAAATAATTAAAATATATTACACCAACAACTCCTATAATATTAAAGACCAAGTTCGTATTGTTTAAAAGAAAATGACTTGATCACTAAAGACTACCGATTTCCTACAAAGCGGTACCGCTAAACAGCGGCCATACATTAGCGGTCGATTTTTGCCAGCGGGTTCCAACCAGGGTTTGGAAGTAGTTAATTAAGACGTAATTTACCTGATTAACTACGTGTAGTTTTTCTTCAAAAACTACGTCTATTCCCGTTCATTAACTACATAAAAACTACGTTTATAAACTACCTATTGATATTATAAATAATTTTGCTTTGCATGAGGAGTGTAAATAATATGATGTGAATAGTTATATTTAAAGCCATATTTCTTCTGTTTTCTTAAATACATTATGTGTTTTCTAAAGCTTCAACTTATTAGAACCTCACCTCAAGCCTTTGATATTTGAAAATTACATACATATAGAGAAATTAAAATAACTTTGGCTGCACATCATAATACGACCACCAGCAAACTCCATAAGACGACGCATGATGTCATTGATGACGTGCAACCAAAATTGTTTTAATTTCCCTATACATATGGTACATAAACTACATTAACTACATGTAATGTAGTTTATGTAGGTTTTAAAAGTAACATGTCGTTTTCCGAACCCTGGTTCCAACAGAGTAGTACGGCCGCTTTGACGCTCGATTAAATACGGTGTGTTAAAATACTGCCGCTATTCGTTTTGAGTCATTCATATCATAGAGAAATATAAAATAAATAATATTACATTTATACATAATATTGATTACATAGCGACCCTGTATTAATTATACAGGGCACAGGGTCGCTGATATGTATGGAAACGGTAAGTTATTATGGTGCGTCCAGACCTGACGACCCGAGCGCGAGACGAGAGCAAGACAAGAGGAAGGCAAGAGCGAGACGAGAGCGAGACATTTTCTATCCATTTTTTGATGCAAGCCTGCCACGAGACAAACGAGCTGGATCATAGTGAAAGGAACCCAAACACATATTAAATTGTAATTATTGAATATAACAAATGATGGCCAAATAATAACGCATACAGTAATAAATTTTTGTATCTTTAACATGGTATTTAGTTTGACGTATTTTATTCATCGTCGGTTTTTTCCCTTTTGGCTGTTTTCCCCTTTATCTCTCCATTTGTTTTGGGACAGGACGTTGTTTACATAATACTTTTTTAGAACAAAATGCTAAACAGAAAAGTTATTGGGAAGGTTAAGAAGCACATTTTAATATTACTGTAGAGTATACAGGTCAAAAAAGTGTTGCGGATATAACAATATATTCTCTAATAGGAATACCCTATTTTTTATTTTATTATTAGATTCTGCTATATATCTAAGATTAATAGATTTTGTAATAATTCAATTTGTTGTTGTAATAATTCAATTTTTAACAAACTTATTTATGACTTCGCTGTAAAATCAACAGTGAAGCCAATATTTAGGCAGTTCAAAATTATATTATAATCATTAAAATGCTTTTATATCTCTATACCCATTAGTGATGGTGTCACATTGAGGCGGCACAGTGACCTTAATCTTAAGGGGGTGCTGAAAAGGTACACTTACTTTTTGGTTCTTTTTAAAACTTCCTGCTCTTATGTTTTCACCTAATCTAATTGAAACTGAATAATCTCTGATATTTCCAAAGATTTCATCTATTTTGCCTATTTGTTCCTTATTTTCTAAATATATGGGTGCATTAAAGAAGGGTACATCTTCAAGTTCTACTTTACAAACTAAATCGTCTTGAACACTGTAATCAAAGTATCCGAGAGGAATAACCTGTAAAGAAATAACTTTATTTAATGTGTTCAAAATTAAATAAAAATTCTTACCTGTTCGGGAGGTCCCTGATCATAATTTCTATTTCCTCCGCCACCTCGTCCGCCCCCAAAACTATTCCTGCCTCCTCTACCGCCACCTCCTCGACCACCCCCAAATCCACCACGACCTCCTCTGAACGACATTTAGAGATTACTTTAACAAATATAAGACTTCTTTTATAGAGATGTATCACTTTTAAAACATATTTAATTGATGAAAGGCTTGGAAAAGGGCTTATAGGCACATAAAACGCTCTTTACACGTGCAAACGCACTTGTTTTGATTTGACTACCGGGCGCATAACCTCAATCTGCGTCTTAAAAAATTGTAAGGTTAGATTGCAAAGTTAGGATGTATTTTTGGTTGCCTAGAACTTTGTCCGATTTATGGGTTGCATACAGAATTTTTTTTTAGTTTTTTTTGCCGCCTTTTTGCTTTTTAGGAGTTAATCGAGTTTATGTAATATCTAAACTTAATTACCTTTTTACAAAACCTCTGATAGTTAAACAACATTATTATCATACGTATATTAACAGCATTGCTGTATAAACAAATAATGATTAAACGTTGCTGAACCTTTTCAGGAATGTTTGGTATTTTTATATAATTATTTTAATTTCCCTTTAGGTACTGAAAGGTACTGAAAGACTTAAAAAATGTTGATTCAGACCTTTTGCTATTTTTTTTTAATTGTTAGAGATAAAAATGTTGTGGATAAGTATGGTAAGTGGATAAGAAATAACATTCTATCCATTAAGCTATTCATCGATAATTTGAGAGATAAAAATAAACCAACACAATTTTTTACATGGCAACGATTGAATAGCAAGGTCGGAAAACACCGGTACCGGTCATTTTATAGATTGCTAAGCTTTTATACGTCAGTTAATTGGAAGTCATATCCTTTGTTGTTGACTCAAAAAGTGTCTCTCGTCTCTGCTCATAACTGTTTTATTTGTGTTTGATAAAACGTCCGTACAGTACAGAAATATTTCTTATTCGTTTTTTGAATTAAGGTAGGTACCTATGTGGCTGATTTTCATTGTAACGCTTTATTTATCATTAATCATGTAGAATCTAATAGCACTAATAGTCTATAGGAATAATACAACACTGATACAAACATTCCACAAATTTATTGATTTTTTGTCCGTTATTTTGTAATAATTTTAGAATTATTAGTATATTCTAAGATATTGATTCAGTTGTGTATTGACTTAAAATCTTTCTGTGTTTAAAATACCTAGATTCTATACCCGTTATAGGACTCCCGTGGCTTGATAAACAGACAAGACGATATATTTAATAAGCAAATTTTCACATAAAAACGATTAGAAATAAATAACACTGCATACAATTATTTGCTAACAACACATTGCTAACAATATTTTTATAATAACTAAAAATTAAATTTTATAGGTATACCAGAAAATATACATCTTGAACATGGCGCCAGCATACAAACTTTCATATTTCGATATCATGGGGCTAGGAGAACCCATTAGGGTTCTTCTTAGTTACGGCGCTTTGGAATTTGAAGATTTTAGAGTTACTAGAGAAAACTGGCCAGGTTTAAAGTCAAGTAAGTGTATTATCACAAATAAAATTGCATTTTTTGGAATGCATTTAATTTTTAATTTATTTTATTTGCTGAATCAGAAATATATGAATACCCAGTCACAGACCCCAGGTACACTTTATCACTCTGAACGTATATTTCGCTATTGATGCCGTTGATGTCCTCAGGAATAAATGATTAACACAAACTCATAGCTTTAAAACCTGATATAATGTTTGCACCTATTAGCGAAACAGAGTCCAGAGCTACAAAAAGGGTGCTTGGTTTTTATACATTGCGTAATTTTTCGTAACGCTTTTGTAAAGAAAATATTTCTATAGAATTTTAGTTTTTTTTAAAACCATCGTTTATAACTCATTTATAAACCTACCTACGAGTATTCTACCAGTAGTAAAAACAACTTAGAAGACAAAGTTACTATACATAATACTAGAATTGATCAAAAAGGGTTATGGTCAAGCGTATACTTTGTATGGCGACAGTTAAACATTAAACATATCCTATGTGAAATGATTAGATTAAATTATATATTTATTTATATCCACAAGGATGGGATACACTACACCTGACAACATTAGCCACTCATACACAAGAATACTTGGCCTGCGGCTCTGCTGCGGCTAAAAACTTTGCTATGTGGGGCAGGCCAAATAATATACCACTCCGATAAACAAATTATATAGAAACTACTATAAAACGTCGAATTTTATCCCAAACGAGAATATGTAATCGGGCAAAGATCTAATTGGCAAGACTAGTCCGCAAGCCAAGTTTCCAGACCAAAATACGAGAGTTTTAGCTTAGATTAAGAACAAAAACACATTACTGCCTTAGGTGGCCTTCATTATCAATCTTCATTTTCAATCCAGTTTTTCCATCCAGTCTTTTCCAATATATTTTTATATTTTCTATTTGTGGACTATCTACTGTTGGTTAACAAAGAACATCACTTTAGAATGCCTGGACAGATTATTCAACTGAAAGTGGGTGATAAACTGCAATTTTTTCTTCAATCTCTTGATAAGAAAAGTCAATAAAAAATAAACATATTTTTATAATGGGTACACAAAATCAATAACAAGGTACTTATTTATCACATTTCTGTAATGAATGAGATAAGAAATAGGAACGACATCTGGCAAATAAAAAAAAATAATCTTAACAAGTTTTGTGCTTAGCCTTTTAATAATCCAAAAAGATATTTGTATTCAAATGAAATTTGATGGATCAGACCAATTTAAAAAAAAATCGGAATCTTTAATTTTTTTTTTGAATATCTCCGGAACTACTCGGAATTTGAAATAATAATAATGACTTTATTGTTTAAAATAAATAAAAATACAATTTTTAACAATATTTCAAAAGTAGAACAAAGGCGAAGTTCAGCTCTTACCGAACTACGTCCGGTGGAGCTGAGCTGCTCTCTTCCACTTAATTTTAACTTAACCCAATTTTTTATTTTTTTTTATTTAAATATTATTTTAGATACATTAATGCACAACTTTGCCCTAATTTAACCATACATTAGCGCGACGCGCACCGATTCGCCTGTATTGGTACATGTTTTCAAGTTGTGCGCGCTTTCAACCACGCAAACCGCTTGTCGCGAACCATCTCCTGTTGTTTTTTTTGTTTAATATCGAAAAATGCATTTTAAATGAACTGTTATGCCCGTCAGATAGTTCAGACAAGTTTTTCCTGCTATCTGCGAATCTGCCAGAAACCAGAAAAACCAGCGATTTTGCGCTTGTTAATTTGGTGACAATAATGTCAGATATTTTTCAAGAACCGTGTTCCTTAATAATAAAAATTTAGGCATTAATTAATTATAGGCATTTCATAGAAAGCATAAAAGAATAACAGAAACCCATAATCAAGATGTGAATGAATCATATATGAATGTGGTAGACAATGGTTTAGTAATGGTAGGTACTAAAATAATTTGACTTCCATTGTCTTTATTTATTTTAACAGCGTTTCAAGCAGAGAAGAACATACGGTTGTTTCTTCTCTGGTTTCAAGTATAAGTACAGATTAGGTAAGTGTGGACTGTGAACAGTTCACACGTTTGATAACGGTCAGTGATCAAAATCAACAAAATACCGATGAAACCCCAGCAATTAAGGAATAATGGGAGGATTATAATCCAAAAACTAAATGAAACACACTTTCTGAAATGTAATTTTTTTAGAAGTTATGACTGTATTCCTCTAATAAAAATTTATATCTCTTTATAATATACGTATTTTGTATGTATTTAGTGATAAATAACGGACTTTTTGTAGATCATAATAAGTGCTTAAAAAGTTTTCCAGGTATATCGACGGAGACCTAACACCTAAAACTTTATTTCAGGTATGCCCATGGGTCAGTTACCCGTTCTGGAAGTCAACGGAAAAACGGCACATCAGAGCATGGCCATTTGTAGATATTTAGGCAAACAACTAAAGCTAAACGGTAAAGACGATTGGGAGGATTTGGAAATTGACACCATAGTGGATACGATTAACGATTTCAGAGCAAGTCAGTATGAACAGTAATTATAAATAATTGCTATACCTTTGTGACGAAATCACTTCTTAAAAAAAGTTTTTTGGGTATTTCGCCACTGTAAGATCATCTACAAAATAAAATAGTTTTCTTTTGTAAAGACCGCTGCGTTGATCCAACGGGGATCAATTTGTCAGCGGTATTTTTTACCAATAAAACAAATTTGCCTAACGGACAAAAAAATGCTTAACCGTTTCAGGAGGTGAAACTCCTCGCGTCGTTGAAAAAAAACCTAGTGTTCTTGAATAGCTATATTTAGATATTTTAATTAGTTTTTTTCTTTTTTCTTTGTGTTTTTTTGCTTCCGATGTGGAGAGCAGATACACCTCCCGTTATGCTTTTTTTGTCGGTTAGGCAAATTTGTTTTATTAGTAAAATATCGTTGACAAATTGGCCTCCGTTGAATCTTACAAAAAATAATTATTTTATTTTGTAGATTTTCTTACAATGGTGATAAAAACCAGAATATTTTTCTGAAGAAATGAACAATTATGCTTAATCAAAATTAATTAATTACATAATCATATCACACTTTTAGAAATTGGCCAGTACCATTACCAAAGTAATGAACAAATTAAAAACGAATACCAAAAGACACTCGTCGATGAAATTATACCGTTTTATGTGGAGAAATTAGATGCAATTGCAAAAGAAAACGGGGGATATTTAGTCGGTGGTAGGGTAAGTATATTTGAGTAAAAATTTCTACTTTAAATATATCGTCTATACTAAAGGGTTAATCTTAAAAGGTTAGTCTTGGGTCGAGATTTCCGTATGTAAGAAGAGTACAATGCATGTATAATGTACTGAACAAAGAGGGAACAGTAAACACGTTGCCAAACGTATGAAATGAATCGAGAAACTGTGCACATTGCTAAGAGACGTGGAAGGAGATATAGCAGATTTGTCGCAGTTGACCGGTCGACCCAATCAGTACCTCTGTCAGTAGGTAGTTAAAGTTCTAGGGAGAGGTGTACATCATGCGTTCAGCTTCAGGATTTAATTACGTCTAGCGATACTTTATTTGTTTATTTATTAAGTCGTTGTAATTTTCCCTATAGCTTGAAAATTTTTAAGTGCAAGCTAGAAACACTTGCATTTTTGGTAAAAATAAGTGGTATTGAGTTGGTTTTCGACAATGGTCGGGCTATTAGAACTCTGAATTCAAAAATCGATATCTCGAAATCTATTAGAAATAATTGATTGTAGTTTTATCAAAAACTTTCTTAATATTTCAGTAAGTGAAAATCTTTATTAATAAAAAAATTACACGACTGCTGAAAATTGCTATGCTCTAAAAGTAAATAGATGGGTTGTGTACAATTTTTGAATGGAAAAAAAACAACCTTAGCGAATGTTTCTTATGTAAACATATTGTAAAAGATCTTCAAAATAAAAAAAAGTTTTGAATATCTAAAGTATTTCTTGAGTTATGGCGTGTTGTGTTAAAAAGTTGAGTTTTTAAATTATCGCGATTACTGACGTTTTCTTGTTTTAAAAAAATTACACCTTAAAGATATCCTTATAATTCCATTTCAGATGCTCAGAAACATTTCTAATGATTTTATCTAGTTATCTTTTCGAAAAAAAGTCTTTTAAAAATAAGCGGTTTGCGATCGTGATTTTACTTTACTTGATAGGGAGGGCGTACTGGCAACGCCGCAAAAGCACTCCGTCGCATTTCTCTCACTCCGACTTAATAAGATCCCTATGCGATTTACTTCCACACATGTAAATACCGACCCAAGAGTAACAGTTGCCAGCACGGTATAAATATTTTCGATAAAAAATGATGACTGAATCTTTGACGATTATATTACTCTTTTGCTCTGTATTGAACATAAGCTTTAAAAATGATTCTATTAAACACGAAAATTTATGTTATTTTCAGTTAACTTGGGCCGATTTGGTGTTCTTGGGTCTTGTGGATTACATGAATTTTATGGCAAAAACAGATTTGCTGTCTAAAGCTCCTAATCTTCAAAAAGTGAAGGAAAATGTTTTGAAGGTGCCTAACGTAAAGAATTATGTTGATAAACGTCCAAACAATCATTAAATTGTACCATTATTATATTCATTTTACTGCATTTGCCATAGCATTACAAATCATATAAAAAAAAATTGTTTGTCGTTAAATTTGTCAATTATGAAGATATTTTTATCATTTAATAAAATGTTGTAATCAAATTGTAGAGTGATGTTTCTTTTCAAATAATACCATCAAATCAACACTCTACACTATACGTAATCATGATCGATAAAAAACATTTCAGTTTGAGTTTTTATTTTATACTAAAAAAGCGATCATAATTTCCAAGCCAATACTGGCCGTTGTTTCTTTGATCGTATGGTATCAATCAAATACGTTTTAATTAAAATATACTGCGGCCTCCCCATAAGGGCAATGAGAGAATTTATGTCCCAGTATTGAAGGACAGAAGATCGAGTTTGACATAAGTCCATCCTTGTTCAGTAGATGGATGTAATGCACATGCGCCGAAATGCTACTTTTCTATTGGCCGAATGGTGTCGAGATGGGTTATCGATTTATTTTTGGACGCGTCGTCGGCGTGGATTTTGTTTTCAGTTTGACTTGGGCAGTCGCCATTAGAGTTTTCTCTAACTTTCTGTTTTCCACGTGTACTGTGTTTTCGTTTGTATTTTATCTTTGTGCGTTTATTGACAATTTTGTGATTTAGTTTTAAAGACTTTTGCTGTAGTTTAATTAATAGAACAATGGGAATGGGCTACTGCTTCTTGTGTGGTAGAAGCCAACTAACCAAATTAATAATAGAAATTTTTCTCGATGTTCGTTTGTATCATGAAAGCAAAATCAGAAATGAAAGGGATGTTAATATAAGACAAAAATATACTAAACTAATTTTATTCAAAAATCAATAATTGTTAAAAGCATTATATTTAGTCTTACTATTTTAAAATAAAAAAGACATTATAATGTAAAGACTAAAAATAGAGACTACATAAGGCTAATTATAATGCTTACACAGTTACACACAAACTGTCTTATTGTAAATTATTATTGTTTTTTTTTCATAATATAAAAGAGTATTTACAATGCAACAATGTAAATAATTATATTTTTTGTATCTAGCTTGATTTATGTATAAACTTAATATGTACATACTTTTAGTTATATTTGTTTAATAAAAAATATGTTAATAATAAAGAATTACTTTTGTTTCATTTTAAACCAGGACTGATGTTGATTATTGATCATAAATACATGGGCAGTAAAAGAAACAATAGACAGTAAAAAATGTACTGTTATACTTTGTTTTGCTGCAATTTTTAAGTCGAGTGAAATAGATATGCAATTTGTAATACTAAGTTCTTAAGACAGTTCCTTAATTGAGGTTTTACTAAATTATTTTTTGAATTTTAAAAAAAGTGAAATAGATATGCAATTTGTACTACGAAGTTTTTAAGACAATTTCTTAATAATTGTGGTTTTACTAAATTATTTTTTGAATTTAAAAAAAAAATATCGTACCTGTCACTTTTTTTCATTCGTTTTATTTAATAATAATTGTCTAACACAACAAAGTCTACTTAGAACGATATGATATAAATATAAATGAGTTCATTAAAAAATGGTCTGATTAAAATTAGTACCTAAATAAGCAAAAATTATCCCCTCATAAAACAAGAAATTAAGGAGTTCAGTAAAAGGATTGCAACTATATATTTTATTCAGTAAATTTTCATAATAGTAAGTATAAAAGCACAATCTCTAAAACGACAATATGAATAATGTATATTAAGATTTAACTCGAGTTTCAGTGAAAAAACTATATTGATATTAAAATATTTTAATACCTTCAGAATACTAATTACATACCATAAAATAGGAGTTTTTACGATGCGGGAAGCTATCTAGAAAAAGAATTTTAGAAATCAGCAATGGGATTCTGTAAGCTCTGTAGCAAGAAATTTCCTATCGAGCCTATGCTATTTGTATACGATTGATGAGTCACTAGACAGGGAAATGTTTACAGAATCGCACTGCAGATACCTATTACGCTACTAGGAGCCCCCCATTGTGAGACAGATATAAAATAATTTTTATATACCTATTCCATAGCCTATTTTTTTAAATGTCTGTAATATTTATAATAAACTTATTTTAACGAGTAGAAGTATTGCACCAGCATCAAAATTAACACTACTTGTAAAAAACTGTTGCTCCTTGAGTTTGTAATAGATATAAACAAAATAAACATTCGAAAATAACTAAATCGAAGATATCTGAAAACTTTTGGTTGAAAAAGTGTTTTGCCATAACATGTTGGATACGATTAAAATATCTCAATTGATAAATATGCGCATAATGTTACATTATCAAACTTATTTGATTTCAGAATATTTAACAAAAACTTCCAATTTTTCGAAAGATTTAATTCAATTATTAGAACGTCTTTAACCTCAACTTAAAATAAATAAAACCAAAACAACAAAACATATCATATGATTTGGAACTGTCCAATCAAAGTGCTTACAGATCGAGCAAGCGCAGAAAACCTCCTCCCGAACAAGGATAGACTTATGTGGGAAATGCATTGACATTCTATAGCCATCCTTCAACATCGGGACAGGAATTTAAGCGGTACTCTCCGTATATTTTATTAAAACGTATTTGGTATCAATGCTGATCTGACAGATGATTAGTTATTAAATGTAATTATTAAATATTAACAATCAATTATTGTATCTATAAAAAGTATCACAACAAATCAAGATATTTAGGATTTGCTTCAGATTCTATTGTAATTTTAATAAAGCTTTGTTTTCATTTAGGTGTGAGAAAAATTTTTAAAAAGTAACAATTTAACCTTATCAAAGATCCAAATATTTTATAAAATATTTGGATTGGATATTAAAAGGTGCCGGAATAACGGTTCTTAAAATATCTTAAAAAATGTATTTGTTTTTTTAAAGTTTGATGCCCTCTAACGGACAAATGAAGCACTTTTGTATAGGGGTAAATTGTGTGCAATTAACTTATTTTGATTCCAAAAATACCTAGTAGTGCTATGTCCACGGAATCTTGAGACACCTTATATAATGGCATTAAAAACTGTTCAAATAAAACCTTAACGAAAGTTGGCATTTTTAGTTTTAGCCCTTCCATTACACAAGGCATTAGTTGATAAAAAAAACCAACTAGTGTTTTCCCCTGTTTATGCCAGGAAGAATTTGGTGTATTTATATTTTTTATTACTTATACAATTATAATTCAACGTCGTATTATATTACCATTGATTTTTGTTTCACTTCCTATAAAAATAAAAAATAAAAATCTAAAAAAATAATTTATTTACATAATTAACAAAAACCTTTATATTACATACTAATCATTTCATGACTCCTGCGCTTTCCCTTCTCAGTTCTGTTCAGAATTTCAGTTATAAAAATAGAAAGCGATTTTACTAAATTAAGATATACAGAAGAATGGCTTAATGAATTCCTTCTAATGGTGTAAAAACTTTATACTGATACAGCTTATCATCTCCATAACCATAAAGAAGTCTTCCTACGCCATTCTCATCGTAGTATGGGTATCTGTATTTCGGCCTACAAAGAAAATACGTTATTTTTGTATTTTATATTTTCTAAAATAATTACTTACCTTTCAAAGTACTGAAAATTTGGCGCCCTTGGTTGAATAGCATCTGTGATTACCAGAAAAGCGGATACCAAAATAAAAATCTAAACAACAATAGATTAGTTGCATGCTTTTTACTGTAATTAATACAACAATTTACTAAATACATACCACAAAAATTGTATTCCTTGTCATGGTTTTGCGAACACTTTAACACTGAACCTTCAAAAATTGTAGAAAACCACGAAGCCCATCTCACCGTTATAAAGCAACTGAAAATGTGAAATTACACAGCAGAAACGGAAAGTGAAAGTTTTCTTTAATGATACTATTTCGTTAAGCTAGTATACGAGGGAGGCTTGAAATGTTTCCAACCTCACCATATTAACTTGAATAATAAATTATAATACAAATTAGATCTTCTGAAGATATCAAAATTTTCACTTTTTTATTTTTATTTTCAGAATTTTCACAAATTATAGCTCCGAACCCTTAGAATAATTATACACTCAGATGCAAAGAAACACAACATAGAAATTTTTGGTCAAATTTAAAATGTTATATTTTTATTTGTAGCCCTATTTACATGAATTTTTTAGCAAACTGTACATAATTATATCAACTTTAATTCGTAAATTCAGTTTTTTGTAACTTTAGGAATTGGCATATTATACAGGGTTAATCGAAGGGTTGTTTTTTATCCTAACTTTAAAACACCCTATGCAATAATTTAGTGTGTAAATTTTCCTAAAATATAATTTTACGGGAAGAACCATGTCTCCTGAGCATTTTGTTTTTTGGATCACGTCAATGCATGCTTTGGTTAATTTTTAAGAGCGATGGAACACAAGATTAATTTAGATTAACAATTTTAACTCATTTAATGAGAAAATTCAGTTTACGGTCGAATGTGAAAAAGATAATAGCGTTCCATTCTTAGACACAAGATTAATAAGACAGGACGATGGGGAAATCATACTAGATTGGTACCAGAAACCTACTGCATCGGGTAGATACCTTAACTTCTTTTCCAACCATCCTACATCGCAAAAATACAATACTATAAGAGCCATAAAAAACAGAGTAAGTTATATATCACACAAAAGTTTAATACAAAACAATTTAAATAAGCTATTTAACATCTTTAAAAATAATGGTTATCCGAGGAATATTTTGAAAAAACTGATTTATAACACAAACGTACACGACGGACCACGGGATGAAATGGATTACACAACTTATAGAAGAATTCCACTGGTAAAAGGACTCACTAACAACATCATATCAATTTTCAGGGATTTTCCGCATATAAAAATGGTAAAATATAACACACTTAAAATATCCCATCTATACAGCCAAATCAAAGACAAAACCCCAACACTTTTCAAGTCTGATGTAATATATGAGATACCGTGTGACGGTTGCCAAAAAACATATATAGGACAAACTAGTCAGTGGCTTAAACAGAGACTATCATTGCATAAAAGTGACTGTCGTACACATAAAAAGAGATGTGCATTGGTGGACCATCATTTGGAAACGGGACACACGTTCACTATAGATAAAGTAAAGGTTCTAAAACAGGAATCAAATTATAAAAGCCGTTTATTCATGGAAATGTGTTTTATAAATAAAAATAAAGAATCTATTAATTTTAAGTCCGACACAAACCAGTTAAATACAATATATTGCAATTTGTTAAAACATTAAACTAAAACTAGTAATGAACTGATATCCTCTTTCTTTCTTTTTGTTTTGTCCAAATTTATAACAATTTTATCTTACTGTTTGTTAGTTTTGTCTAATTGTTGATAGTTTTTTTTTGTCAGTTTCATTGTAACTTAAACACCATGCAGTGTAGGTCTGTTTTGTCCGTCAAATTTTATAACCGAAAGTATATTATTGGTGTAATGAATGTGTATATTGTAAGATACGACTGACTTTTAGTTTTGTAAGTATAATTTTTGTGTATTTTGATTGATCCTTTCTTATGTTAGAATTTTTGACTTTGTAGTATATCTCCTGATGAAGTAAATAAAGATTTACGAAATATTGAGACATAAAGAAATAAGTTTTTGAGTCACTGACCGCCAACCTGAAAATAATCCAAACAATCCTTTAAAACAGTACGGTCGATATTCAATTTTCATTTTTTACTATATATATATATGTAGTTCGCAATAGTCACCAAAGCTGCCTTGTTATATTAAAAAAAAAACAAATTATAATTGAAAAAATTGCAAATTGTTGGTGGCAAGTTCATTTCGCTCTTAAAAATTAACCAAGGCATGTATTGGCATGATCCACAAAACAGAATGCTCAGGAGACATGGTTCTGATCCTAAAATTATATTTCAGGAAAATTTACACACAAAATTATTGCACAGGGTGTGTCAAAGTTAGGGTAAAAAAACAACCCCTCGATTAACCCTTATAATAGCCAAATACTAAACTTTATAAAAAAACTGAGTTTACAAATTAAAGTTGATATAATTATATACAGTTTGCTAAAAAATAGGGCTAAAAGTGACAAAAATATAACAGTTTAACTTTGGCCAAAATTATTTCTGTTGCGTTTTTTTGCATCTGAGTGTATAATAATTTTTCGTATAAGCTTGATTTTCATGCATCCGTTGTCCGACGATACGACGATACGATATTAATTTTATTGGTTGAATTTCAAGGATTCGATTGGTTAACCGTCTCTAGCCAATCGAAGTCTTTAACTTCAACCAATAAAATTAATATCGTATCATCGTATCGTCGGATAACGGATGCATGAAAATCAAGCTTTCTCGCTATAATCAAACGTCACAAAAGTATTAATTTTTGCGGCGTGATTGACAATAAAAAAAGTCATTTTAACGCCTAGGCACAAAGTAAAGCACTTTTACGCCTAAGCATAAAAGTACGAAAATATATTATTAAACTGACATGAAGTGTTAAATTCAACGAGCCGTAACCATAGTTTATCGATATATAATTAACTGGATTGGAAAAATAGCATGTTTTATTCGGAGTAAAAATGAGCTTTTGTGCCTCGGCTGTATGTCCAAACTAAGTCAAACGTACAGCCTCGCTACAAGAAGTGTCATTTTTACTCCTAATAAAACGATATACTATTATCGTTGTAAGGCTAGAAGCTAGAGTACCCTCGTAGAAAATATCGCTTAAAAATATTCACTGTCAAAACATTGCCCGAAATTTACCTAGAATTTTAAATATACCTAATTTATTTGTGATGTATTGAAGTATTTTTTGCAATTGGGTTAAAACGTTGAAAGAATCATATCTATTTCAATCAACCATTAAAGCATGTTAATATATAAACGGTATGACGAAATTTTTATTAATTTATCATTCGAATCGTTAAATATTAATTTACTCTATGAAACAAGTGTCGTAGAATTTATTTCTCAATCGATACTACTATTAAATTGGTGGTTAAAATTCATGGTCATATAGAAGCTTTCCCTTTCCGCACCGTGCTATATACTAAACTCACGTAGGACATGTGTAGGTATTGTTTCTGATTAAAGCAAATCATGAGTAAAGTGCTAACGCTGGTAGGTTAATTTTTACATTTGTTTGTTTTGTTTCTACCTTACGACCAACAGAAACGGCGTCACAGATGGTTTATGAAATGAAGCTCACCGTCATTTTGTACATAAAATTATATGGGGAATGTCGTCGAGCCAACTGGACGCCGTTTTTTTTGCGATTACTAGCTATTACGCTTTTCTTTTATCGCCAGGAATCATTAAATTTACCAACTTTAAACTTTTTAGTGTAAACCAGCAAACGTCAAATAAAATTAAAGCCCTCCTTATTAAAAAAAGATCGCCTTATTTTTTCTCTCATATTCACTTACACCCTGTTGCCGTATACCGGGTGTTACTTAAAAGTGGCTCAACCCTACAACTTTTTTGGACTTTCAAATAAAAAACGAGATTTGGTATGTTAGTACATGACATAAATTAGGATAGATTGACGTATTCAATTTTTCTTGGTTACTTCCTGTTTCACCTAAAATGACTACAACTTTTTATTTTTAAATAACATCCTCGGTTATTTTTTACTTCATTTGATAGAAAATGTCATTCTGAATAGAATGACATATCATATATAGGGTTTCCATAAAGGCTTTTGGAAATTCCGGATAAGTGAATTCAGAAATCCGGATAAATGAACTCTAAAATCCGTACGTCGCAAAAAAGAAACTAAAAAAACTGGAAACATTTTTCGGGCTTGTTCGAAATTATTAAAAATTATATAACCGGTTGTATGTCAGAACACGCCACAGAAATAAAAGAATCCGAAATAAAAAAGCGCGTTATTTTATTCGGTGCAAGAAGATACAACAGATATTACAGAAAAGTCTCTGTGCTATTTCAATTCGATATGTTAATAAAAGCGGCTAAATCAAATATCTTTGCGAATTTTATTTTATAAAACATTAGATAACATTGTTATACATTTAGAAATAAAGTTGGCAGATAGGTACTCGTATGTCTCAATTATTTTTATTTATCTCTTGCGGATCCGAAATTCAAAGAATCCTATAAAAATTTCCAACGCATTTAACATCTGATTTAACAAACTTGTTATATTGATACATTTCCAACTTCCAACGCATTTAATAGTGATTTAACAAACAAAAAATGTTATTGACCAATAAATTGCAGGTATTAATAATAGATATGATAATTTCGAGCAGAAAATAATTTAAGGAGAATAATCCTGGAAATATATTTCCAGAGGCTTTCAAATTGTTTCTTTTGTTTGTTACTACACCATTTACAAGTACTTGAGTTGAGAGACATTTTTCATGTTTGAAATGCATTAAAATTTATAGTAGAGATTCCGTGAAAAATAAACCTTTATCGTCACTTGCCTTACTTTCAATCTAAAAAGATCTTTTCACAGCTCTTCAACAATCTGATGATTTTACTGATATAATAATAAATAACTTTTCTTTATTAAGAGACCGACTCATCAATTTAATATATAAAACATAATTATTCTTTCTCTCAATACTACCAATTTTTAAGTTTGCGTAAATAAATAAAAATAAAATAAAAATCTATGATGTACTCCATAGTAATAGATAAAATAGATTTAATAAAAACTATACTTGTACATTATGTCATTACGTTGAATGCTGTTATTTTTGCTTTAGTTTTGTCCTAAATATTTGTGAGCTATGTTTTTAACCCAGAGATAACATATATTTACAAACTGGGTATTATGTAAATTAGGGGGGGGGGGGGCAAATAGACGCAACTAAAATTTTGTCGCCTACCCAGTCACACGGGTCACGAGCCGCCACTGACCAACTTTTGACATTTTGAATTAAAAAAAAATAGTAATTTAAATGTCAATTTGTGCCATAAATGTAACAATTTGACTTGAAATACCAACTGTATGGTACCAAATTATTCGTAAAAAAATACGATTTGGGCATCTTTTAATCGGTCAGGACAAGATACGGAAAACATTAGACGATCAAATATATTAATCTAAGAGATTAAAAATTAGTGTTTTTAGCACAGCCTCTACTAAATCACACTCTAGATTGAAATTTAAAATACGATTTTTTTAAGCGAGAATGTCAAAAGTTGACATATGATATTCCATTATATTCAGAATATAATTTTCTATCGAACAAAGTACAGAAATACTGAAATATTGAATCATTTAAAAATCAAAAGTTGTAGTGATTTCCGGTGAAACAGGAAGTGACCGAAAACAACTGAATACGTCAATCAACTCTGATTTATGTCGTACACTAACGTACCAAATTTTGCTTATTTATCTGAGAAAATAAAAAAGTTATAGAGGTGAACCCAGTGCGGCCTAATATGCGATGATAACTTCAGAAAATACAACAAACCAATATCATTCACCTAAAATGATTTTTTAGGTATTTCTTACCCTTTGTTCAGTAATCTTAACAAACGCTGAACCCTTACGATTTGTAAAAGACTTTTTTCAATTTAACATTGCTGGTCATCCCGTTCTACACAAATCAGTTGAATGGCTCTTTGATCCAGATATAGGAATAAGAAGATCCAGGCAGTATCAGGAAAAAAACGGATATCTGGGTGAAAAAGCTATCGAGAAGTTAGGATTGGGGATAGATGGATATGACAGAGAAAGATTAGCTCAGCAACAGCAAAGAGATGAAGGACATCTAAATGGAATTGAATATCTAACTCCATAGATAGAGATATAAATATTAATTGATTTATTCTAGTCTAATCAGTTAAAAAATTACAAGAATAGTAGAAAAGATTTAAGAAAATAAAACTTAAAACAATGTTATTTGTTTCCTTGAACCCATGAATGGGCCATAACAGCTCTTAAAGAAAGCCGTTTTTCACCTCTGATTATTATTAGCTGAAAATAAATAGATTTAACATTAAAAATGAACACACGTTACAGGTTAAAAAAACTTACATTGTCAATTAAATCTCTTGCACCAGCCGAAATAAAATCTGCATAATGAATATCACGAGTTCTAATTCTCCTGTAAGTATCTTCTTGGTCTTTACCCTCAAAAGGAGGATAACCATGTAAAAATTCAAAACAGAGAACCCCTGTAATGATAAAATTTCAGTCATACCATAGGGTGACAAGATACACAGAGAGATCCAGCATTCTTAAAAAGCTCGGAAAGTTTTGGTTTTAGGTGCCAATTTTCATATGTACAGGGTGTCCCATTTTTGTGTGTTTTACAGGGTATCTCGCTTATGGGTAGAGATACAAAGATTTTCAAATCACTATGCTACTTTTTTCTGAAACTAAAGATGCTACAAGTAGATTTCTCCTAGCCCTCTTAGTTCCTCAAATAAAGGGCGAAATTGAAAATGTTGCATTTTTCGACCCCCTTCATATCTTGGTTATCTTATAACTTATCAAAAAGGCAAATACTGAGCCTAGTAGACATTTTACGCCGAATCCAGTGGCGTAACTAGTTTTTCGTTGGGAGCTGTCATTCTTGAAATATAACCTAAACTTATGATTTTTTTTAATGGGACACCCTGTATATAATTTTTTTATCAAATTTGCCTTGTCATGAGCTTTCTAAAATTATAATATATCCTAGACTTATTGAATAATTTATTCAACGTCAAATTTTGGCTATTGTCTTTTCCATGCGTGTTTCCATAGTTCCCGTGTTGTTTTTTGATTCACTGTAGGTACTAAACAGGGCAGGACAACAAAATTTTGATTATTTCGAAAAATATGACATGAATAAATGTTTTATTCTAGGCAACGAAGATTCTGATGCACCGGCAGAGTTATATTTGGACAGGTAGGAGGTAGCCTATGTTAAAAAGTTAAAAAAAATTTTACCTTATTTATTAAAATAAGTCTACGATATATTATATTTTTAGAAAGCTCATGGCAAGGCAACTTAGAACGCCACTGGATTCTACGTGAAAATGTCTACTGGGCTCAGTTTTCACCTTTTTGATAAGTTATAAGACAACCGAGATAGGAAGGGGATCAAAAAATGCAACATTTTCAATTTCGCCCTGTATTTCAGGAACTAAGAAGGCTAGGACAAATCTACGTGTAGCAACTTTAGTTTCATAAAAAAGTAGCATGTGATGTAAAAACCGCATCTTTGTATCTCTACCCAAAAGCGAGATACCCTGTAAAACACACGAAAATGGGACACCCTGTACTCTTTGTACAGGGTGTGTTCCTGTGTTTTACAGGATTTCTCGCTTATGCAAAGAAATACAAAGATGCGGTTTTCACATCACTGTGCTACTTTTTTATACACACCATATTTGTCCTAGCCCTCTTACTTCCTGAAATACAGGGCGAATTTGAAAATTTCACATTTTTGACTCCCTTCATATCTCGGTTATTTTATAATTTATTGAAAAGATGAAAAACTGATCCCATAAAGTTTTTCACATATAATTCTGGGGAGAAACTAGATTTTCGCGCGGGTGACTGTAGTTCTTAAAATATAACACAAACTTAATTTTTTTTAAACAGGCCATGTATATTATTTTTCTATTTTATTTGCCCTGTTATGAGCTTTCTAAAAATATAATTTTTATATATTTGGTTGGATTTTTTAAAAATTTTTAACACACTGTAGAAAGGAAGCACTTTCGACCTCTTGTTTATATTTATTTCTTAAAAAAACATAAGGAATCAAACCCCCATTTGTTTAGACTACTTAGGCAACACCCTGTATAACTAATGGTTTTTAAATATGACAACTTTTAGACTAATATTTTTTTGTACAATTAAACATCTCTTTAAATTATAAAATACCAAATAGCTCAATTTTTTTAATTGGAAATATTTTGCATAACATGGTGGTACTACTTGGGAATGATGGATGACCCTGTATAAACTTTGTAATCATTTGTATTGCCAATCTACTTTACCTAAACACCAATTATCCACTAAATGCCTATAGTCACGTCCTTCTACCATTTCAGGAGGCAAGTAATCTAAGGTACCACACATGGTGGTCCTTTTCAATGATGGAGAATGCACAGACCAACCAAAATCAGCTAATTTTATATCACCTGTTATAGTAAGAAGTAAATTTTCTGGCTTTATATCTCTATGAATTACTTCATTCTTATGGCAGTATTCAAGCGCATCAGCAACTTGATAAACATACTTTGCAGACCTGAAAATAATCTTTTAAAAATTAGATTTTTTTTCTTTAGGTGAACTTACAAATGCTCTGAAAACCTTCCATTTGGTGATGATTTTAAATGATTATATAATTCACCTTTTCCAGCAAATTCTAGTATAAGATAAATTCTGTGAGAGTCATGAAACCATGCAAGAAGTTCTAAAATGTTTGGATGCCTGTAAAAAAAGTATTATAAAAAATATCAAGGACTGCTAAATTTCATACTTTAAATGACTTTGAATTTCTATTTCTCTCATTATTAATCTTTCAACGCGACCTTTAACAATTTCTTTCTTGACTAAAGTTTTTAGAGCTACTATAAATCCAGTACGCTTCTCACGAGCCATAAATACTCTCCCAAATTTTCCTCTTCCCATCCTTTTACCGAGTTCGAAATCATTTAAACACCATTTGTAACTAAAAACAGGAAAACGCTTAAATTTAAATGTCCTATAAGATAGAAAAAATCTACTCTGGATTGTTAAAAGCTGTATGTGATATCATTCTCCTAACTAATTCTTCAGTTGGTTTTTCCAAACCTGGAGGAACTCTAACAGTTTTTAAGTGTTTCTCAGCTAATTCGTCGGGATTCTTCATTTTTGACATATTACTAAATAAAATGATAAATCAAAATTGGAAAAACCGTTTAATTTTGATTATTAAACAATTTAAAAATCACAACTTTCTTTTCAAATTCAAAATTGACATTGACAATGACATATTAGAATAAGATGCATAAAGAGAATAGACCATAGAATAGACATAGACCCTTAATATTTCTGATCAATTTGAACTACCGTTCATATAATCTATCGGTTTCAAGCAAGACTCAAATTTTTTATATATGATTGTATAATGAAAAACCGTGGTAAAAGTACCTATAATGTATAATGATTGTAATATAAATGGTTATTGTATCTTATATATTATTCTTTTATATATAAATCTCTACACTCCATATCTATGGCAAAGATTGTACATATGACGTTAGCCACGATTGTACTTGCTGAGTGGAAAATCCTTTCACAACATTTTGAAAATCAAAAATATGATCAAAAACAAACATTTCCTTGAAATATATCAATATATAGTATAAACTTTACCAACCGCTGAAAAAATTTATCCTTTTTTCTATTTCAATGATTTAGAGCAGATTTAAAAGTATTGTATACTGTAAAGTCATACAGTTAAACTTCAATAATAAATAATAAATAGTGAAAATGGGCGAAGGAGAATGTGTCGTTTTACCTGATGAACAACCGAAAAAATCCAGACATCGTAAAAAATACCTTTATCACACCATTTTACAACAAATGGAATTTTATTTTAGCGACTCAAACCTTTCCAAAGATAGATTTCTGTCACAGTTACTAAGTCAAAGTCCATGTAAGTACATTATATAAATATTTTTGGAAAGTTAAATAAACTTTATTGTAGATATTGATATCGACGTCTTCTTAAAATTCAATAAAATTCGAAAATTAAACTGTAATATTGAAGATATTCAAAAGGCTTTAAGAAACAGTACTGTGATTAGAGTATCTGAAGATGGTACTAAAGTAAAACGAAACAAAGCTATAAAAGTAAATGAAAATGTTGATTTGTGTACTATTTATGTAGAAAATATTAAAGCAGATTCTGATCATGAGAGTTTATCGCAAATATTTTCTGATTTTGGTAATGTAGTTTATGTGTCAATTCCTAAATATAAGCATAATAAAGCAAATAAAGGATTTGCCTTTATTGAATATGAAAATGAAGATCAAGCTAAAGAGGCAATTTTATTTTTTGATAGTATAGGTTGTAAAATACCTTCTGAGAGAAAACCTGAAGAATTACAAAGTATACTTACTTTCGAAAAAGAGGAATCCACAGAAGAATTTAACCCAATTAGTGGAGATATAAAAAAGAGGAAACTTAGTTTTGATGAAGATTTACAAAATAAGAAATCAAAAACTTCTGAGGAAGGTACGGATGACTCACAAATTAATAGCTTCGAAGATACTGAAGGAAAGAGAAAGGAGAAAAATAATGAAATTATCTCATCCACATTAGTCGTTAATGTAGATATTCCAGAACCTATTAGTGAAGATATAAAAAAGAGAAAACTTAGTTTAGATGAAGACTTACAAAATAAGAAGTTGAAGGCTTCTGAAGAAGTCACAGGTGACTCACAGATTAATAGTGTAGAAGATACAGAAGGAAAGAAAAAGAAGAAAAATAAAAAGGATAAAAGAAAATTATTCATCAAAGAACTTGGAATGCAAATTATGTCAAAGTAAGAATCAGTAATATAAAAAAAAACATTAATTATTATATGTATTTATAGAAAGGAATGGAAGAAACTAAGAAATCACTACTTGGATCTACAAAAGAAAAAAATGAAAGAATTTAAACTTTATTTAAGAAAACATCAAACCAATATCAAAAGAAAAGAACCATACAAAAACAAACAATTAGATGAAAATCATGATTCCACTGAGGATTCTAAATTAACTTATGTTCCAGGGGTTATTGTAAAGTTGACGTTACTTGAACCATGTAATGATGCTAAAAAATTAAAGGTAGGTACATAGATTTTTAAAGTAAATTGTTCTTTACCTAAATTACTGAAGGTATTACATTCCTTATGATTTTGTTTTTGTTTTAACTTTTTTAATTTTTTTCTTTTAGAATGAAATTAAAGTTTTATCATCAGATATTAAATATGTAGATGTACCTAATCAAGTGGGAAGTGAAGAAGCATTTTTACGATTTAATTCTAATGAAGCTGCAAAGCAGTTTTGTACTAAAGATTTTATGGGTGATAAAACAATTCTAACAGACGAGGATGAGAAGTCTTATTGGGATAAAATTAATAAAGATCGGCTGCTCAAGTTCCAGAAATTATCTAAAAAGCAGAGAGGTAGAGAGAAATTATTGAAGAAAGCTGATAAGGACACGGTTACTCATCTGAGATTTGAAGAAAATGATTAAATATTTTATAATTTTCAAGAAATAAATTAGGTTTCTTATTTCCCAAAGTATTTATTTGTAATTTATTTACGTTTATATATATTTTTAAAATGTTTGTAAAGCTGTAAGATGATTGTAAAACTGTAAGGGATATAGATAAAAAAATTTCGAATTATCTGTAAAAATATTTTTTGGTATATCAAGCATATCTGTCTAGGGATTTTATATGAATATGATATAAATTGTATGCCGTGACCGTGCCGTGACAGTACCGTATAATGTATGATCGAAAAAAGAAATGGCTATTAAATGAAGATCGGGTAACTGAAGATCGCTGTAATTTTATATGGAAAATGGGTATACCGGAAAATGTAATATAAACAAGGGTAATATCAAAGTGATTTTTCCAGAGATATGGACTTAAGGCTATATCTCTGGATTTTTCCGATTGACAACGTTCTAATGCCAGAACTTGGCAAAAACCAAACCAGAATATAGATAATTTTATTAAAAATTAGAACAGAAAGCATAGAGCAGGCCATAGAGAAAGTTAATAGTTTAGAGAGTGGTGAATCGCGTGGTAAAATGTTGGGAGATTGCGCTTTTAGCGCCCTCTACTTGGCTACAGGAACGAACTATGAAAGAGCGGGAGATTTAAATTATTATTAACAGTGAAATAAATGGAGATACCTACTAAAATTTTATATTATCATGATACTAAAGGATATAAATACAGCATTTATAATCCTTTTACACCTTTTTATTCAAAGTCTTACATGTTAATATAAAATTTGACTATTTCCATTTATTTCACTATTTTTGGTTAACGGCACTCTTAATTTTAATTTTCCTTTTTTTATGGGAAAATGATTAAATGGGAAGAATTGAATGGGAATGGAAAGAGTGACCAATTATTGTATTTTGTATTAATTTATAATACCCCTATTCTACTAAATATCTAGCTACATTGTACTTACAGTTAAATAGCTACATTGTACTAGTTATATACATATTTACAGTTTTATGATGGCTATTATTTCTTTTCATTGTGCTATCTATTGATTCGATCCGACTTGAGTACTATACCTCGAGATGGCTCCAGGAATTATTTATCTTTACAGGCCTAGAATATGAAGATTCACAGTAGAATTTTTGGTTTTACTGCCTATTAGAAACAAACCTACCCCCCTACATCAAGGGGCATACAATTATGCCTTGTTCTCGGCCATGATATTCCTTCCATTCTATATCCAACATCCAACTTAGCACACCTTCTGGTTCACAACAGGGCCTAGACTGGCCGGATGATATTTTAACAGGATAGCCCTTGATATCTCTTTCACACTTTCATTTAATAATTAAATAGGAGGGTTGGATGGTATAATTTCTAGAAAGAATAGCCTGTGAAATAAAAACTTCTGCATGGACATTACCTTTCTTACCTTTGTCTGCTATTTTTTAATAAAAAACAACTGTTTAGTTTGCACAAAAATAAAATTAACAATCAAAAATGTCTTAAAAAATGACCAAGCCTTGTAATACGCCGCACAGTGGGCCAGGGATAGCCTTAGCGATTGAAATGGACCCAGAACCTATTTCGTCCAAATTTTTTCTTTCTTATCGCAGACTGAAGTATACCATGAAACATCAGAAAACAAACAAATGAACTCGCTCCGTTGTCATGGTGCGAGTGTTAAAAATAATTTTGTTAAGTTTGTTGACGCGGCATTTCGTGTTGTTTAATTTATAGAATTTTGCCTGTTGAAACTGGAGCTGTTTTTCAAAGAAATTGTTTTTTTTTAAAAAATAAACATGCAAGAAGCCAGGGAAGGTAAGTTTTCATATTAATTTTATGCTGATAAAGTTACTCTGAAACACAACTATCCTAAAGAAATTCTACATTTTAAGTAACACCAAAAAAAATTGCCAAATAAAGGCTTTTTTAACTTTATTAAGCGATATGTTAAAATTTTAGCATCCTTTAGGGCCACCGTTACTACTGTGTATATAAGAAACATCTTATAATATTTTCTGGAAAACAAAATCTTGCTCCCAGCTGCTCCATTTTAAAAAAATTATTTTTAAATAATTTAGACCGAGTGACACAAAAATCGAAACACAAGTTTTTTGTTCATTTTTTTTAACTCTATGATCAATTTTTAATGCAACAAATCTCTTTTTACATTCAATTGATCAGGACTTTTGAGTTGAAGTATTTATTTGCCTGTCACCTTGAAAACTAAGATGGCGGCGAAGTTCAAATGAAAATAAAATTTCACATCCGGGTCTTACTTTTTGTGTAATTTTATTTTGGTGTTTTCAAGTAACAACTGAACTAAAAAGTAGCTTTTTTTCAGAGTTCAAAAATCATTCAGTTCCTGTAAGATCTTTATATGAAGTCTGCCATCAAAAACTATTGATAAAAGAAACTTTATATAATAGTCTGTGTGAAAGCTGTAGAAATCAAAACCAAAAACTTATAGGGTCATTGGCAAATAATTATTTTTGTCAATTTCGAAAAAAATGGCAGATTGCTAACCGAAATAAAACTAGATTTTTGGTGAGATACGCAGCATGACTGGAAACAAGTGTAACCATACCTTGCAACAAACCAAGAATTTCTAATGTTGGTCGACAGAAAGTAAAATTTGACAATTTAAGTTATGCTGGAAAATATAAAAGAACAAAAAAAAATCCGAGAATTTGAAACCAGTGAGCTTGTGTTTGCTACAGAAATCGGTTTAAGAACTTCCGGTAAGCCAGCAGCTGCAAGTTTATTGGCTCAAGTAGCAAACTCATCAAATGAGTCAGTCAAGCATTTGAAAATATCAAATGATTCAAATAATAACCAAAAAACAAGTTTTCAAATGTCTCCAGAGAAAGCGCTGTCCCTAATAATGAATCTGAATCTTTCTAAGCGACACTATCAATTGTTCTGAAAAATAATGAGAAAATAATTTAAATTTATATCCCACCATATAATACAATAAAGAAACGCCAAACAATTAAGATGTTACCCCTCAGATATCACTGCTACAGAACACTCTGTTTGTGTTACTTTACAGTCAGTACTAGATCACACTGTATCCAGATTATTTTTTAATACCAGAGCTTTCTTCCGATAATTTTTAATCAAACTAACAACAATTTGACTTTGCTAAGTAAATTGTGGGGATGTGACCGCAGTTCAGGGACAAAAAAGAGAGTATAAACAAGGTTTTCAGGAGGGGTGATTTTTATTGATAGTAATTTATTTTTGTGTCTGTTTGGTTCCCCTTAGCATTGTACTCGAAAAGATTTAAAAAACAAAAAAATTCTTTTATGGCAAAATCCACCCACCTTCGTCCAAACTGTTTATTGCGGGCCTATAAAATGCAATTTTAAAAAGAAACCATTGAAGTATCTAAAAAAATGAAAAAAAGTAACATGGATAAAGAAATACAACAACTTGTTGAAACTGTAGTTGTAGTAAGTGAGCATTTGACTGCTTACATAAAACATGAGTTAATAATGTCAATGATTGATGGTAAGATGATTAGTGCTTTGACAGATACATCGTCACAAAAGTGTTTTATTTGTGGGGCTTTACCTTCACATATGAATGATATAGATGTTGTGCTGAAAAGACCAATACGGGAGGATAATTTAAAATTTGGAACGTCTACCTTACACGCGTGGATTCGTTTTCTGGAATGCCTGCTAAGATAAGTTACCGTTTAAGTTTACAAAAATGGCGATGTGTTGGAAAAGATAAAATTGTAAGTCAAAACGAAAAGCAAAGAATTCAAAAAGAATTTAGAAATCGTTTAGGCATAATTGTAGATGTAGTGAAACAAGGTGTTGGTACAAGTAATGACGGTAATACCGCGCGCAAATTTTTCCAAAATTATACAATATCTGCCGAAATAACAGGTTTGGATCAAAATTTAATATATCGATTCTTTGTGATCCTACAAGTTATTACCAGCGGATTCAGCATTGACATTAATAGTTTTAAATCATACTCCTTAGAAATTAGTAAGCAATTTGTATTTCTTTATCCGTGGTACAAAATGACTGTCACTATACATAAAATTCTTATCCATGGGGGAGATATCATAAAATCATCTCCTGTACCCATCGGACAATTATCGGAGGAAGCTCAAGAAGCTCGAAATAAGGAGTCGCAGCTAAAATTATTAAGTACCGTGGCCGTAGCTTTTGGTTTAGGCAATGTTATTCATAAAGATAAAGATGTACGCCACTGATTTTTCTCTTTATTCTTAATTTTTTTTAGACGAGGCAAATTAAAATACAACTTTTTTTATTTATTTTTAGCACCTTGCCTCATCTTCAAGAAAAAAAACTCTCTATTACATATTCCCTGATTATATACAAATCCATTTAATTAGTTATCATTGACACTCTGTATACCAAAAAAGAGGAGAAACTCAGAAAAAATGTTATACTGTTACATCTTCATTTTAAAATTAAGTGAGGATCTTCGCGCCTTTCATTTGTTAATAAAGTTGATATCCTGTATATAGGAATTTACGGAGTACCCTGTGGGGAGCAACAATTATAGTTTATTAAAGTCCGATGTTCGTAAAAATTGTATTTATTCATTTTTTAATACATATTTAGATAAAAGTTGTTGACATACAAAAAGAAATTGAATTAGTCAAACTCCTAGTTACTTCCTGGCCCACTGTGCGCCGTGTTCCGGTTTTTGAACAAACAACAAACCTACCTAAGCAACAAACAAAAGAATGAGGTTAGCGGCGTTGCCAATGCCATTGTCATGTCCCGATTCACCAAAAATTCCCCATATGATTATTTTAACAAAAAAAAATAATTTTAATATACAATATTTATTATATATGTTAAGAGGAGGGATTAAACTGTAAATTACCTCCTTGTTTTTTAATCCCTTCCCTAGTAGTCTTTAAATAATTTGAGGTTACTAAATTTTCTTTCAACTGAAGCATTTGCAAAGGGAAGCACAAGTAAAAAGCAGATTATAATTTTTAAGTTGGGAAAGATGGTAAAGGTGTGGATCCGGTGGCTGACCTTGAAGCCCATATTTGCTGCTTTTGATCATCGATACTACGCAAACGCACATCGTCGATGTTGCCAAACTGCAGGTTATTTTCGAATTACTTGCAGTTGAAAATTTTTTTTGGCGTGTTAATCAATAATAATACAAATTCTATAATTTCAGATTTATCTTGATATCCAAAATTAAGGTAAGAAGGATAATGAAGATTGTGAAATGACAGTATTATAATATATAAAATTGTATTAATAATAACATTTATTTATATGTTTACATTAGAATTAAAATTTATCATTTACTTGATTTTTTTCTCTTAATGGTTTTAAACTTATTAGAATTATTTTTATTTCTTTCAAGTTATTTAATTTCTAGTTATTTACAGGCAACAATATTTTTGATTATATGCATGTATTGATGTTTTGAAGTACTACCATGACGGGTCTTATTATAGAAACAATAAACGTCAATCGGAGATAGAGGTAACATTTTACCTATTATATAATGTTACTAATATAATATACTTTGATTATAAATTAATGTTTGTATCATAATTTCCTTAAAAATATCAAGCATAGATATCAAGTTAGTGGATTTTATCGAAGAGTGCTGGATAAGACTGTAAATAAGCTTTATGTTCTATCTTTTATCTTTAGAAGGTATGGTTTGTATCAATAAAATACATTACAGTATTTAATATCGTGTACTTTGTTATTCTTTTCTTAATTTACTGTAATTTCTTGTTTCCTATAATGCCAAATCTTGACAATATGGTGAAGAGTTGAGTTTTGATCTTATTAGTTTTATAAGAATAATAATAATAATAGAAATACAAGACTAAATTAAGACTTAGTTTGTGATTTATATTAAGATCTTTCTTATAATATTTGTTATGTCTTCATCTTAATACTATATTATGCTTGGTTTGGAAAATAAATGTTAAAATATCTTAATTTTGCATATCCTATTCATCCTTCCATTAGGAAAAATATGGTTTATAAATCATATATTATGCTAAGAAAATCACATAAATTAGGTGTAAGAATAGAGAAATCTTAATGTAGCAGAAAAATTAATGCAGTATATGTATAAGCAGAATTAAACAAGGTAACTGTTAATGTTGCTGCAGCTGATTCTACAATTTTAATTACGGAGGCTAAAAGGCCTTTTAAGGCCTCCGTAGTTTTGATGGAATGTTAAAATAAATCTATTATGAACATGACATGGAGCTACAGCATTTAAAATTTAAAAAAGAGAAAATTTGGACACATCCTTTTAATTTCCCGAATTTTTAATAAAAGCACTTTTAAACGTAGCATAATAATCTAGACAGGAATCTGAGTTTTATTTCTATATAATTTTATTGACTGAAAATACATAATAAGCGTTCATATTGTACGAAATATTAAAATAATATACCGCGTACTGGTTGAAAAATAGCGTCAGCAATGACTATGAAATGAAGATCGCTGTCATTTATGGAAATGTCCTCAATAAGTCATTTCCCAGACAACTGGACGCCGTTTTTTCGATCATACGGTAAATATTGACAAAAAAACACTGAAAAGCACATATTTGTTTTCTACTGAAAATAATTTGAAATAACTCACAATCTGGCAACATCGAAGATGTGCGCATGCGTAGTGTCTGTGACTATATGCAGCAAAAACTCGTTTCAAAGGTCAGCCACCGGATCCACACCATTACCGGCAGAAAGATATATCGTCCCGCTCCGTTTTAAAGCTAAAAATTTTACGCCATTTTCAATCAGCAATAAAATGTTGAAACTCCCCTTATTTCGCCGCCTATTGCTAATCCCCTGCAAAATTCCCAATCGGCTCGGATTCCCCAAAATTTGGGGAATTCCCCACAAATTGGCAACGCTGGAGGTTAGCCTGTTCTTTCCTGAATATGCTAAGACTAACGGACTAGTCGTCGAAACTTGGTCGAAACTAGTCGAAACAATTTAGATAGTGATTTGGACGTATTGCTAATTCCTGCAGAGCCGATGCCAAAGTCAGAACATTTGGTTGCGCGTCGTATGGCTTCTTCTGGCAAGTCATAGCCCGAATTTTTCTGTTTGTCTATGGAGCAGGCTATGGAGGGTAGAAAACAGCCATAGAGAAAGAGAAACCGTTAAAAAAGTCAGAAAAAAAAAGTTGGACCATGGCTGAACCGTAAATCATATAATTAATAATATATGTACGTACATATATAAACAAAATTATCATATATATATTAAACTTGAAAAAAATATGATTAACTTCTGCGAATTTCGCAAATACGTCACATTTTGGTGGTCTGTGTTCATGGTGTGTTCATGGTCAAGTAAAGTTTCAACCGTTTGTATATTCTGTGGTTTCAACCTTAGACAAGGGTTTCAACTGGTTTCAACAGTTTTTTTTAGGTTAATGTGTAAGGTTATGTTATTTCGTACCGCAAGGCCCCATGCTTTAAAATTTATTCGTACTGCACGTGGTACTGTTTCTACTGTTTTATAAATAAATAAAAGGGCAGATTTGTTTTATTTATACAATGGGTAAGACTTATATTAGTTTTTTTATTATTTCTTTGAAAGCCTATTGTTGATGTTTTATTACTACTTTTATTTTCCTACTGTTGTGTTGGATTATTTTATTCATAGTTTTGAACCAGTTCTTGTAGTACTTTTATAAAATTTGAAAGTTTTTTGTTGTAAAAATCTTATTTTTTAGGTTTTTCTCCTGGTAACAGAGGTGGAGGTGGTTTTGGTGGTCGTAAAAGTTTCGGCAGCGACGGCGGCGGTAGAGGAGGTCGAGGAGGTGGGAGCCGAGGAGGATTTGGGGATAGACGCGGAGGAGGTAAATTTATTGACACTTTTTGTATATTCTGTAATTATGACAAGATTACAGAAAATAATCAGCCTTAGCAACAAAAACGAAATGTTAAACACCACTTTGAACAGAAGAAAAGATTGCCAAATAATATCAAGCTAATTGCCAATCATATTGCAATGTAATGCCACGGGTAATATACATAAACAGTGTGTTATTTAAATATGTAGCCAAACTTTAGTAGGCTATTTCTTTAGATGATTCTTGAGTGTTATTGAGATGAAAAGTTCATATAAAGATAGGTCCAGAAACACTTCCCTTTATTGGATTTTTTTTAAATTTTTGCCAGTTTTTTTTGTTATTAGACTAAAGTTTGTATGCCCAGTAGCATTCCAGAAGACACTAACGGCCGTATTCGTAGTCGACCGCCAGCCGCTCGCTGGTGGGAGCTTTCCCGAAATTCTTCGTTCTTATTTCAGAGTCGAGCGCTCTCCGAGTAACGCGTGCACACATCCGTCATATAGAGTAACCGCTCTCTCGCCGGCGGGCGGTTGGATAAGCATTTTTTTTTTCCGTTTCATAGTCGATCTCCAGGCGAAGAACGCTTGCGCAGTTTAAAGCCCCATCTGGTGATTTTCGGCCGGCGACTGGAGCATGTCCTTACACCATCTCCGGGCGGCCCGCCAATTTAGTCTTGTTTATTTCTCTAGTTGAAAGAAGCACCAAGCAAACTGAATTAATTATGGATATTTATAATATTGTGTGACGATTAAATGTACAACTAAATGCACAAAATCGACGAGAACGATGACATTCAGTATTTTTGAGGCCATTATTCATTACATTTGAGTCATATGAATTCCGTCCGTCTATTTGACCATTTAAATGTTTTATTGTTTTGTTTTTGTTATGTTTATAATTTTTATTTTTCCTATTGTGTTTACGTTTATTATACATTAATTCTCTTTGCTTAATTTACACAAACTGGAAAAATATACCAAATTCACAAAACATCAGTCATCTACACAAAAGAAACAAAAATAGAGCTAATTTAAAAATATAAATTACTTCTACACTGGTCATATTTTCCCTTAAAATAATTTGGGGCAATCCTTAACACAGCACACCAATAGGTTAAAGGTTAAAGCACAGTTGTTAAGGTCTATAAAATTTATAAACATACTGCCAAAACGAATCTATAAAACTTTTCAAATAACCCGAACAGACCTACGGAATTCCCCATTATATAAATTATTAACTTAATATCCTTTTTATTATGGCCAAAATATACCTAGCCAAAAAATATGTATATAAAAATTGTAAATCTTTTACTATATAAGTGAAGGATTCACGAAGATATTATTCATTACTTTAAAACAATTATAACAATGGACACATCAATAAAATATTTAAATTACTCAATATCAATAAAATATCTAAATTATTAATATTTAAATATTTAGAGAGAATGTTAAAGTTAAAGTGTAACCCATTTTTGTATAGAAAAAGTGAAGAAGAAAACATGGTCCCTGTTGTTAAAACCCTCCACCCGAAGTGAAATTTTGTCGGCGACGCGCCGTCTTTTTCGTCAGCCAGCGGTGCGCGGCCGACTATGAAAGAGCTTTTTTTGTCTCCGGATATCGAAGCGCTCGCCGAAGCTTTCTCCGGCGAGGCGGGAGAGCGCCAGCCGCCCGCTTTTCTGGCGCTCGACTATGAATACGGCCCTAAGATGCAGTTTTGCCAGAAATTCTTGAGTGAATTCCTTCACGGAGCCTTAAAAAACCTTTGTATTTCTTCAACTTCACAACAAATTTCAGATCTTGTGAAAAATCACCAAATTTCGTGTATTTTATCTATTTTATAATTAGGACAAAATTTTTAACAACCTATTTCTGGTAATTTTGAGACACAGATGTATTTAAATGAACTTTTTATTAAAAAAATAACACGATCAAAAATGCTGTGATAGATACTTGATACTCAACAACAGTATTATAAAATATGTTTCAAAAATTCATTGCTTACTATGACTGCTTGAACCGAGAATAATTAGTCGTGCAAAACGCGCGTCATCATGAGTTAACTTATTAGATATGTTTTCCGTGAAAACCAAACCGAACCAAATCTATCTATTTTTATGTTTTTGTAACAGAATCTACATATATAAAATGCTAATGTTTATCTGTGTCGTCTCTACTGAAGTAACGACTTGCTCTAGAAAGTTGCTTTTTTTACTAAAAGATAGCTAATTCGCTCTTCTAAAAACTGTCGTCGCCGGATTTTTTATGATTTTTTATTTTGTCGCTTAAAAACAGAAACACTCTTCATTCAATGACATACCTATCAGATTTTTTGGCTGATCTTTCTGGCCTCTCGGTGGTAACAAGTTTCCAGAACCGAGAATATCAGTACCACGCCTTAAGGAACCGGGATTTCCCGTTTTTTTCGGTACTCTCGATTGTATTTTTGTTCATTGACTGTGTACTTCATCAATCAGCAAGTAAGACATGGTTTTCAAAAGTAAAATCGATGAAAAAAAAACATATTTTTTTAATTAAAATGATATCAAATGATTAAGTAATTAGTAATTAGTCATGAGAAAATTAACATGAAGGCAAGTGACGAAAAAAAAGGTAGCTTAAAATTCACATAAAACAACATAAACCAACTTAACTAAATTTGAAAATAAAACCATTACATTTTTGAATTAAAAATGAAGGGAATATCCAACGTACGAAAAAAAAGACGTGTCTATTTATTTTCCATGGTCTATCAAAATTAATAATAATTTTTTTATGTAAGTTCCCCATTCAATTGAACGAACCGTATTTTAAGGGGATCTCACGATTCGATTTTAATATTCCTTCAAATGAACGACTCGTTTAATCTTTGTCCACCTCAATTCCCGTTACTTTCGAGACCGGGATTTCCCGGTTTTAAACCCTAGTGATAACGGTTTGGCAGCGACGTTACAGGTGGCGTTGTCGATAGGAGGAAATGTTACGTGTTTTATTATATATTATTAATATATGTTTTTAATTTTATAGGTAGAGGTGGATTTGGTGGGCGTGGAGGAGGAGGTGGAAGAGGTGGATTTGGAGGGCGTGGCGGCGGTGGTCGCGGTGGAGGGGGCAGAGGTGGCCGAGGAGGCGGCGGTGGCGGATTTAAAGGCGGCAAGACGGTATGCAACTTATATATATCGCAGACGTTATTATGACATTTAGCTATGTGTAATTTAGAGTTATGCTACCGTAAAATAGAGTTGATTGATTTTTGAAGTCTGACCGTCTGCAATCTCGATATTAACTTATCTTTTTATTTCTCTCTGTTCTCTTTTGTTGGCTTTCAGTTAAGTACTCTAATCAGCTTATGGCCGTTTTCCCATATCCATATAATATAAAATAAATAAATGGCCGTTTTGCCATATATCTCATTACATATTCTAGGAAATACAGGGTCACCCTTTATTCAGAAAAACCTCTATATCAGATTTTCATTTTAGATTTTCACAATATTTTTAAAAAAAAATATACTGACATAATTACTAATTAATTATTTTATAAACATATGGGGTAATTCAAATATATTTTTATACTAAGGCTATATTTTTTTACGGTCTATGACGTATGCTGTATTTTTTTCACCGTAGATTTGCCAAAAAAATCCGATTTGAAAAATAACGTAGTCTACTTAAGTAATAATACTAAATCTTACTTTACTAAGTGGTTCAGTTGTTGTCTAATGTTTCAGTTCAAATAACAGAAAAAAGTATCATACCTAGTTTTGACTCACCCTGTCTATCGTTTTAGTAATATTATTTATGAAAAATATATTACAATAAAGTAGGTACTTCAAGTTAAAAAGCATCAATAATTAGCAATTTTCAAAGATAGAAAAATGGTCATATTTCAAAAACCAGTCATTATAGATTGTAATATGACTTAAATTTATCAATTTAAATACCGTATGATCGAGAAAAAACGGCGTCAGCGATGGCTATGGAATGAAGATCGCTGTCATTTTATATGCAAATTTTTATGGGAAATGTCATTGATGTTCATTTCCCAGCCAACTGGACGCCGTTTTTTTTCAATCATACGGTATCTCTAGATACCAAATCATTTCATAATTTTTTCAGATATACCGGGTGCGTCTCAAAAGTGGCTCACCCCTATAACTTTTTAATTTTTTTAGTTAAAAAACGAAATTTGGTGTTAGTATATGACATAAATAGGTGCCCGGTGGCGAAGAGGTACAGGCTCTCGTCTACCAATCTCAAGGTAGTGGGTTCGAATCCCACCGGCATTTCATCAGCCGACAATTTTTATTAAAATAAAAATAGTTTGGGTACCTAGGTCGACTCAGCCTTAAATGAGTACTTGGGATTCACAATCCTGAGGTAATAATAGGCGGTTGAAGCGTAGTGCTAGCCACATTTCCTTCCTTGTATACCGAACGGCTCTAGTATGGCAAGCTGTACCTTGCTACTCCCAAGGCGTCAAACGCTATATACGGGAGCTATTATTATTATATATGACATAAATTAGGATTGATTGTCGTATTCAATTGTTTTCGGTCACTTCCGGTTGCACCGGAAATGACTACAACTTTTGATTTTTAGATAACACCCCCGGTATTTTTTTACTTTATTCGATAGAAAATTACACTCTGAATTGAATGAATATCATATGTCAACTTTTGACATTTTCGTATATGATTTATTTGAAATTATAACTTGCGGTTCATAACGAAAATTTGACTGGAAATACCAAGTGTGCGGTATCAAATTATTCGTAAAAAATGCTTTTTCCAAATATGCTAATGAACCACCCTCGTTCCATTTGAAAAAATTGAGATATGATTTGAGCATATTTTAACTGGCCAGGACAAGACACTAACAACATTAGAGGATCAAATCTATTTTTCCAAAGCTCCTTGATGAAGAATTAGTGTTTTTAACATGGCACTCTAGATTGAATTTTAAAATACAATTTTTTTCCCGCTTAATTTTTTTTTTAATTTATTAAGTGAGAATGTCAAAAGTTGACATATGGTATATCATTCTATTCAGAATGTCATTTTCTATCAAATAAAGTAAAAAAATACCGAGGGTGCCATTTAAAAATCAAAAGTTGTAGTCTTCCGGTGAAACAGGAAGTGACCAAAAACAATTAATACACCAATCAATCCTAATTTATGTCATGTATTAACATACCAAATATCGTTTTTTATCTGAAAAAATAAAAAAGTTATAGGGGGTGAGCCACTTTTGAGACGCACCCGGTATAAGAAACAATGATTATTAAAATAAGCGACATATCTAAAGATTTAACATAACAATAATATAACATGAACCCTACAGACTATTATTATTATTAAATTGTTTTGATGCATGTGATACGAGGTGCAATTAATGTTATTTCTTATTTAATTATAGGTTATTGTTGAACCTCACCGACATGAAGGTGTATTTGTTGCTAGAGGCAAGGAAGATGCTCTAGTTACCTTAAATTTGGTCCCTGGTTCTGAAGTATATGGAGAAAAAAGAATTTCTGTTGAAGTAAGTATCATTTTACATCCAATATTTAGTACCGCAAATGACTGAACATAAACTAAAAGTCCCTTATTTATTTTTTAGAATGATGGAAATAAAATAGAATATAGAGTATGGAATCCCTTCAGGAGCAAATTGGCCGCTGCAATTTTGGGTGGAGTTGACGCTATACATATGGCTCCCGGTAGCAGGGTTTTGTACTTAGGAGCAGCATCAGGGACAACTGTATCACATGTTTCAGATATAGTGGGACCGGAAGGTTTAGTATATGCTGTGGAATTCTCTCACAGGTCAGGTAGAGATCTAATAAATGTTGCTAAAAAAAGGACAAATATCATTCCTATTATCGAAGATGCTAGACATCCTCATAAATACAGAATGTTAATTGGAATGGTCGATACCATATTTGCGGACGTTGCTCAACCTGACCAAGCCAGAATAGTAGCGCTTAATGCGCAATATTTCCTTAAAAATGGAGGACATTTTGTGATTTCTATAAAAGCCAGTTGTATAGATTCGACAGCACAACCTGAGGCTGTGTTTGCATCAGAAGTGAGAAAACTGCAAGCTGATAAGCTAAAACCTCAGGAACAAATTACCTTAGAACCCTATGAGAGAGACCATGCCGTAGTTGTGGGTTTATATAAACCTCCCCCTAAAAACTAATGTTATTCGTTAATTAAAGTTATGTTAAGTGAGAAGTTTTTTTCTGGTATGTGAGAGATTTACCAAGATAAATATAAAGTCATTTTTATGTAGTTTTATGTCTTTTATCTTTATTTCAATCAGATGTTAGACTACTTTTTAACTAAAATGCAGATGAGACTAAACTAGGCAAATTTTGCTGTTCTTTTACTGGAATAACAATTGGTAGAATGCAAGTTTTGATATTTTTAGAATTACTTAAACAGTTTGAGAATTTCATTTTCAGCCATTAAAATTAATTGACTGATAAGACTACTATACTTTGTCTGGTGAAAGAATGTATTGTGTGGGTACTGAATTTTCGTAAATGAATGACAGCTGTATACCACTTCTCAAAAGCCCCGTTCTCAGAACTACGTTTTGTCGCTGGCTCTACCTGGTTGACTAAACGAGTTTAAATTTAAAATTGACAGCTGTTTGAATTTTGTACAAATCTCATTTGTTCTTTTGACGTGTCGCTGGCGGCACTATGAAGTTCTGAGAACGGGGCTTAATTCAACAGTAGATTGGTTTTTCTGTCCGTTGGTTATCTGTGGAAATCATTCTATGACCGGGCAGGCTATAATTTTCTTTTGTTTAAGACAAATGATAGGAAAATAATAATAAGTTATTTTCTTAAGATATTCCATATATGAAATGCATTTAGAGAATAAATATTTTTAAAAACTTTCAACCATATTAATTTCAATATCCTAGAGTTTTCAATTGTCTGACTGCTGTCTATCAGTTTGTCACGTGTAGCAGTACCTAACTGCTTATAAAATCTGTCTAATGAGAGGATCCCCGACAGTGACAGTTATGAGTGTCAGTGGCAAAAACAGTATTTTCTCATTTTTTGGATGTCGTCTGTCGAAATATTTCCTAGCTTGTTGGATAGACTATAGTCTGTTTGGTAAAAGAATATATTACATGTGTGACATTTGTCTGTTATTTTAATTTAAAAGTAGATTGTTTTTTGTCATTTTCCGAATGTCGGGACAGATTATAGTTTCTGTGTTTAAATTTTTGTGTTGTTTTGGACAGTAAAAATCGGTTTAATTTATTTTGAAAAATTGTAAAATGTTCCATATATGAAATACTTTTATAGATTAAATACTATTTTTAGATTTTAACCCATATTAGTGGCAATGGCAATATCCTCTTAAGAGTGTTAAATTGACTCACTTTCTGTCTCTTAAATCTTTGTTACCTATAACAGTACCAAATTGCCTATAGTCTGTCTGGTGAAATAATATATTACAAAATTGACAGGTCTGTCATTTTAATGCCAAAGTAGATTGGTTTTCCTGTCATTTTCCGAATGTCGTCTGTCGAAATCACTATTCCACCAGACGGATTATACTCTTGGTCAATATAGATAGGCAAATAATAATGTAAAATTAAGTTTCTTTTGAAAAGTTGTAAGGTGTTACATATATAAAATGCTTTTACAGAGAGTAAAAATATTTTTATAAAACTTTAAACCATGTTAGTTTCAATATCCTAGTCAACTTGAATAGAGACCTGGTCATTCTAAATCAGTGGTTTGTATTTAGATTAGTAAAACAAAGATAATGTTGGTTAGTTTCAGCTTTGGATAAGAAGATTGGAATAAGACCCCCCATTTTTGACAGTTTTTTTTAAAGTTTCAAATTTTGCAGATTTATTTGGCTTTTCTGAGCTTACTTTGTGTTATTTATTCTACAAATGGTTCTGTCTAAAGGTAGTAGATCTAGGAGGATAACATTTCAGGTCAAATTCAAATGAGTCAATTGAAACCTCAAACAAAACTATCAAAAATGGGGGACTGACTAATTCAAGTTCTGACACAGCAGTGAATCGCTATGGCGATCATGGGAGATGTTTATTTAGATAATCACTTAATCCCACCAAAACGCTTTCTCTCTTTGTTCAGTACTTTGTACTGTATTCAATATATTGTCATTCTTCTTCGACATGAAAATTGGTACCCAAAGCCAGGCGTTGTCGACGGTGTATATTATAATAAGTAATGATGAAAAATATTAGTTGCGGGCACATAGAATATCAGGATATGGTGAGAAATAAAAATATAGGAAGTATGTTTATATTTATTATAAATGATCTAGCTTAACATAAGTGCCCATCCCCAGTGAAAGATTTGTTTAAACATAAAGCAACATTGCTCTTTACAGCATTTCTATATCTAAGGCTGTTCTAACAAATATACTTTTATTGTATTTTCCTACATTATAATAAAGTTTTCTATTGGAGAAACTAGCCCTGCTTACATAGATCAACAAATATGCTGATTCAATAAAATATTCATATAATGACCAAACATTCATATATTAGAAATATAAACTTTATTCTTCTTGCTAACGATTTGTATTATATACAAAATAAAAAAAAAGTAAGTATAAGAAGCAAGGCTAGTTTGCTTGACGAGATAAATTTGAGTAAGTACACTCATGAAGTAATGCCGAAATTAAAAAATATTCTAGTTAATGTCTCATTTACTTATCATCGAGACATAATTTACATTTCAAGTGATTCTTTTATTATCTAAAAGTATAATGAAGTATGAAGTATTACTTAAGATCATAGTAATATGAAACATCAGTTAACTGCTTGCTTGTTAATATAACGGAACCTGTAATGATTTTTAAGTAGCTAAAATGGTATTCAATTTTGGAATATATACAGACCTTTAGCGAATGAAAATATTTTTGGTCGGATCACTTATATGACTAAAGCGCAGTTTTTCATATTTGTTTGTGCAATCAATAGAAATCTTGTTTAATAAGAATTAGACTAATACATTAGTTTTAATATTTTATTTTTTTGCAATTCCACATTACTAGGAATTTGAAGCTAGGTTACGAAAAAATGTACTTTAGCCAGACCTACAAAAACGTTCAGAGGACTTATTTTAACTCATTTAGACTGTTCAAATCAAGATTGGAATTGCAAGCCCTTCTCGCGAAGTTTTTTGGAGTTAGGGGATGTAATATTAAATATTTTCAGAATAAGATGGAATATAATTTTATTATGGGAAAGGGACATTTTTAAAGTGTTAAAACTCTTTCGATTTAAAAATAAATATTACTTGATAGCAAGTTATGATTCATTATAAATTATTAAACACCTAATTGCTTATAATATATGCAACACTACAATCAGTAGCAAGAATACTTAAATTTGAATTTAAGGTTAAGACATAAGTTTCCATCATTTTACCTAGCATTAATAAAATTATTGAATATTGGTAAAAACATATTTCATATATCTTCCTGGTTGCCGTAGTTTATAAATAACTGAAAAAATTTAATATCAAGAGTTTCTACAGGATGATTAATCCAACCATTCAAAAAAGCTCTACATCAGGTTTGCGATTGGATTTTTTGATATTTATACACTTTTTTATAAAACATGTGCATAGTAGCAGAAAGATTAAAATATATTTTCAAACTAATCTATTATATTTTTAAATGGAATGATATATCAAGCGGTGCATCGGCGTTGGAAATACGAAATCCTTTGCAAAGTTGCTTCCCTAGACATTTTACAGCGAAGTCGTAAATAGTTTTTTTAAAGATCTGCGTATGTTGAACACACATGCCAAATTTGGATAAGCCGTTTTTAACTAATTTAAGAAAAACTGCATCAATTTTTAAATTAAAACTAACAGGTAACAATGTAAAACCAGATAAATGTGAACATACTTAAGTCCTCAACCTACGATATTGTCAGTTTGTTGTGCTGTTTAAGCTACTACACATTACAGTACCTACAGTTAGTATATTTATAATTTAAAACATGTTCCAAACAAGCAAAAGCCTAAGGTTTAGAAAATACATTTTGACATTCTTTTTTCTTTTCAAAAATAGATGTATTAAAATACACTCCTACTTACTACTTTTGGTTAAACAGTATCAAAAATTTCCATTTTAGAAACTTGAAAGAGTTTTAAATAATCAGCATTTTTTTCAAACTGTCATATTTAAAAAAATCCGCTAAGCCTAACATATATAGCATTCCATTTAAAAATAAACTATAGTTTGAAAATGTGTGACTCACTCTGTACATCTATGAAAATATTTTTAAAATGTCTGTTACCTTCTATAAAAAATATCGGAGTAAATATCTCAAACTGGAATCCTTATATAAACCATATTTCGAACGTTGCCACCCTGTATTTTCCAAATGCATTATTGTGAAAGAAGATCTAAAAATATTCCTGCAACTGTTATTGACTGACAAACTCTGATCGCATAATACCCCTTTTTTGATACCTGACACGGTCAAAATGAGACCAAATAAGACTCTATTAATAAATTAAATGATATTTGTATGATAAAAATGCAGATGTACTAACAAAATCTCATTAAAACTATATGTATAATATTATACCTAAACACTCAAATCTTACACGCACTATCACACAATATTTACACGAATTTGAAAAACTAGTAAATTGGTTGCACAGTCAAAGTCTCTGTCTTCATTTTGTGCAATATACATATTTATATCACATGGAAAATTATACATACACGACTAGGTAGATGTTTATTATGATTCAACCAGCCGAATTAATATAATTAAACATGATTACCTTGATTTGAAAGAGTAGGACCAATCTTTTTATTTTCTAAAAGACGTACTCATATAATTTGTTTGTTATAGATCACAGATGTATACCTTTTGTTAAAAGACTGACATGCTTGAAATATTAAAATCGATCGCAAATTGAAAACTATAATTAAAATAAAATAAATTTGGGAAAACTGTCATGGCATGTAATGTAACAAAAGATACTAAGCATCTGATTCTCCTGCAAAAAATTGACTTGTATTTTGGATTAAACAGTTTATTTTATTCCTTAATAAATAGGGTGCATGAATTTTATTACAATAAATATTTACCATGTAACAAACACCCACGGCTATAACATATTTAGATGTTAATTTTAATATAGACCTTTAATTATTATTTTTTCTATTACTAAAAAGAAAGAAATTGAAGAATGGAGATCTTTTCATTTGGAACAGAAAAACGCTTCTACCAATTCTTTCAATTCCACATATCACAAGCTTCAATTAAAAAGTCAAATTCATTTCTTTTGCTTATTTGAAATCTTAAAATCTAAGTTCTTCAAGAGCATTATTCGAAAATTGTGTACTGGTATTAGGAGACAGACGCTTTTTCCACTATATAATTTTTCCATCACATTTAACTTTAGTGGTCAAATTTAAACCAATTATAACCTCATATTTATGTTGCCTGAAGACTAGTTTTTTTTTCTACACTTAATATATTCTAATAACATGTACAGAAAATTATTCTTTTTTATTTTCCACTAAATCTAAAAATGAAGGAATTCTTTTAACACACAATGTCAAGTTTTTCTTCCGTAAGAGGTTGAAGTCACTTTGAAAGGTCCGTCTTCTTGATGACCAGTCACAGTTTTAGTTCATTAGCTATTTTGCTTGCAATATTTTTGAAACCAATACTTGTACCTGTAATAAAAAAAAATTATGTAATATACATTTAAAATAGTTTTTCAGATAACAATATTTTCGTTCATTTGCACAATGTTGAACGTATTAAAAAGCCATAACATATTTCTTTTGATTTTTTTTAGATTATATTTTTATTATTTTTTGAGATTAAAAAAAATTAAATTATCCGACTTCATAATTTTGTAAAAAGCCTCAGATGATCTTTGCTTGCAAAAAATACATCAGTATAGTATAGACCAGTATTGACTATTTCAAAAACAATTCACACTAGAACATACAACTAAGTTTATGTGTACATGCATCTGTAATGTCGTCTCTTATTGTTTTCACTTAATTTTATTGGTTGATTTAAAAAGTGACGAATCATGCTTGAACATTTGGTTGACGGATTCATATATCCCCACACGTCATTAACAATTTTATGTAACAGCTAATTTTGTACACCGAGTTTAAAATGTTTTTGGCAATAACACACAATTTATACACTTTTTTGTCTCTACAGACATGTTTTTCTTTGTAGAGGAGTTAACATGTCAAGAAAATAATATTTAATATTAGAAACCCCGTTTAAACTGGATATTATTTATAGAAAACACAGAACTTTGTCTGTGTTTTCTGTTGTGCGTGTTTAAGACTGAGATGTGCATTGTAATTTCGGTTTCACACTGTATAAGCAAATAACTTTGTAGGGAAACGATAAATAAAAAAAATCATATTCAACTTCACTCTGCAATTTTTTTATACTTTTCTGTATATAATACCCCAGTGCAGTTATGACATTCACCATGTTGTAACTAGTAGTGGGAACTATCGAATGAATACTATCGAAACATTCGATAGTTGCAATTCATTCGAATAATTCGATAGTTAGTAAGAAAACATTCGTTGAAAACTATTCGAATAAAAATTATCGAATAGATCCGTCATCTGCCTTGAAATATTGTATTCTAGTAATTCGGCAGCAAAAACCATTCATTTATAAAATTCATTCATTTATGAAATTCATTTATTCGTCAGGATCGATTATAATAAAATATTAACTGAATTTTAGTTGTCGCCCGGCGACGTAGGTTTCTTTCCGAGAAACCTGACAGCGGTCGGTGGTGGCAATGCTATGAAAGAAGCCGGCATCTTTGATTTTTTGCGGAGTGATATATGATATAGATATAGATAAGTGACAGATATAGATAAGGACACATTATTTTTTTTATTGAGGTGCTAGTATTTACACAGAAAAAACATTATGAAGGGCGCTGTTGCCATATTTTGGTATTAGTTGATATTAGCAAAGAATATTATTGTTTGGCTTTAGTTAGTTAGGGATAGTATGTCTATATATATTCTGCATTTTTTTTTATTAATATTCTGTTGTTACACTGCAATAATACCTGTTATTTTGGATGTAGGAAAATTATTTTTAATGTTTTTAAGCAAAGACTGGTTTAATAAATAATAATAACAGTAATAATTTGTTACTATTAACAACACAATTTAAAATCATTTAATATAAATATTTTTTTAAGTAGTAGCAAAATATAAACAACAAATTAGATGTCAAAATTATTTATATTAGATCCTATTTAAAAATAATATAGTCTCTAAATTTTTTGTGTGTGGCAACGTTGGTTTATTAAATAATAATAATTACAGAACTAATTTGTTATATTAACAACAAATTTTAAAATCATGAAATATAAACATTTATTAATTTTCTAAGCATGCAGTGTAATGGAAGGAAAATATAAATAAAAAATTAGAAATCAAAATTATTTATATTAGGTGCTTTATATTACTATTTAAAAATTATATTTACTTTTACTGGCATTTACTTTAAAAAATAAATGAAATATTTCTTCGCAAAAACTACATGTAAGAGAATTAGCATAAACAAAATACAAACATCGTTAACTTTTTTTTTAAATTGGCACGTGTAAAACTTTCATTTTAATTTTCTCACCCCATAGTTTGAGTTCGATAACCATTTACTTAACCACATTACTTTAATATGATTATTAAGTTCAACTAATTCATATTATTAAAACATCTAAAATACAAATATGTACTTTTAAAATTAATTTAAGTTCATCTCATCTCTCTTAAAAATTGCTACTTCTCAAAATTTCCCATTAAAAAATAGACCATATACCATATAAAATTAAATAATTGAAAGATCGGACTACGGAAAACCACACAACTTTTCGGAAAAATTTTGACCACCTGCACATGCACACAATCGTCAATAAATAAAATTAAAAAATAACTACTATTTTAGTATTTTAACTATTTTAGTAAACGCAAAAATAGCACAGTATTTATACGGTGAAGTTATAAAAATTTGGAAGAACTAATAATGCACTGACGCATACAAAAATCAACGAATACTAAATTTCATTTATCAAAAGCATTCGATAGTCGTGGCTCAACGATAACCATTTAGTCGCACGGCGAGGTTGTCACATATGCTTTAGTATACAAATGAATGAATGATTTTATTCGAATAAAACCATTCGATAGTTGAAATCATTCATTCATTAACCATTCGATAGTTCCCATCGCTAGTAATAACCCTTATGTTAATAAGGGTTATTAAAGCTAATTTTTGTTTGATGATGCACACATCGGACAAATGGGAACTTTTAGTATGTTAATACTAAAAGTCCCCATTTGTCCGATGTGTGCGTCATCGAAAAAAATCGGCCGCCATCTTGAATTTTGGTACTTTTGATTTGGCTTTCGCACATTATTAGTACACATGTATTTAATATTTAGTAAAGGATAGCTTTTACAATTTAAGTTAATTTTGAAATATTATTAACCCACCAATAAATATTTCTTGAAAATGTCACAAGAATTGTATTTCAGTTGAATTGATGCTAAATATCCATGTTATTTGTTAATAAGCTTAAAAAATTAGTAATTTGCATTTCGGTGATTTCTTTTATAAATTTCTCTTTTTGACGTAAAAAAAAAACTTTTTTTACGTCAATGCGTTAGGATAATAAACTACATTTTATTGATTCTGATAGATTTTTTTATTCTCTTTAATTTTTACCTCTTGAAGTTTTTCGCTATAACGCACCGTTTTCGAGTTATTTACATTTTTTCCCAAAAAGTACCAAAATTCAACATGGCGGCCGATTTTTTTTTTGATGACGCACACACCGGACTAATGGGGACTTTTAGTATGTTAATAAAGGTTACTAATGCTAACTACTTTCAATGGTCGCAGTTTTCTAAAAAATTTTGCAAATTCAAAATTATTTGCGCTGGCCTATAATGATATGACTAGAATTTAACAGAATATCAATAATTGAATACCGAACATGTGAAGTTATAATTCAAAAAACTATGAAAAGAGTAGCTAGATGATCAAAAGATATTATGTCATAGAGCAAATATTATATGCAGTGACCAAACATCTGTCAATGCTGAACTCAATCATATTGAAACATATTAGTATGAACAAAGAGTATAACATTATAACTGTTAATTTCTAAGTGGGCCAATACCTTTAAAGAGGACGCGTACTGAATCGACTTCGACCGGTCGACTCGACTAAGAGCTGTCGGCAGGTTTTGGTATACATAGAAATAAATGTAATCATCAGACCAGTCGTCGAGTCAAACGGGCCAAAGCAGTGCGCGGGGTTTCGTCGAGAATCCCGATGAATACATTCATTTTTTTGTATACCAAAACCTACCGATAGCTCTTAGTCGAGTTGACCGGTGGAAGTCAATTCAGTGCGGGTCCTCCTTTACGCGTGATCCTGGTGTTTCCATTAAAGGAGATGCCGATGGACGGAAATCTATATATTATGTACACACTGGATATAATTAATTTTGATTACACGGAAGTTTTTATGAATAGTTAATCATGACATTTTAAATTAGCAGTAGATCCACCCCAGATTCCACCCAAAAATATCCATCGATACTGTATTATACAAGATACGCGCTACGAATATCTATCTTCATTTTATTTACATCTTCAAATTGGTAAGTTTAACAAAAAATTTAAACCTAACCAATTTATTTATTTAAACCAACTGTTTATTCCTTTGGTCATATCACAGATTATACAGATTATAAACTTATCGTCAAAAGCATTGTTTATCGGGTTCCAATTTTCGGAGTCGCGCACTAGTTAGGTTACTAGTTTGCGCCCATAGCACGCCCACTTAAGGCGTCTAAAATTGTGCACAGCGCCTGACCGGCCCAGTTATTGCGCTGTTTAAACGCGAGTTTATTTTTGCGCACAGGAAATTTTACTCGTTTGCTCATCGTCATAAAAAACAATTTTCGTACCACGAATTAGGGATAAGATTTTTATCTGTATACATATAGTATACCTAATCTGTGGTCATATACTCTCATTTTGATCACTGACTGCTTTTTGACAAAAATCCGAAAAACTAGACAGTTCGAAAATATTAAATTCATCAAAAAATATTTGAAAAGAAAGAGCTTTTTATATACTATTTTATATTTTCTCTCATTGCAATAAATTTTGTTGTTTTCTACTTTTTTATACTCTTGACTTAGTTATTGAGTTGTAAGATGTAGAATGTATGGAAGGGGGTTAATCACCGCGACCTTACAGATCTATTGTGTTTTATTGAACTATTGAGTTAGTAAAAACAAACAAGACTTACCAGAAATTCGTTTAAATCGGACGCCGTTGAGTGAAAGTCTTGGCAACTTGCAAACCTCTATTTCCCATTGTACTAAACTATCTGTGTTGGGGTCGCCGTGCACACATAATAATAAAAATCTTTCTCTCTGTTCATAGTCACAGTTGTTTGCGTCTAGTACCTGAAAAATAATATTCAATAAAATAATTTGATATTTAAAATAATTTGATACTTATTTCCAATAAGGTATTTTATTACTATCAAATACTTTATTAAGCACATAGTAGAGTATCTGATAATTGGACCACAGTTAAAGTTATATAAAGTTATTTGACAGTTAAGGTGTCATAATAAGCGTTTACACAACCGTGGCCTCTATTCTGGATTCTGTGAAGCCGAGCCGGTGAAATAGGTATATATAGAAATCTTCTGAAGGAATTTGTACAAGTCGTTTTCTTACGGAAACAGAAGCGTGGATTTTAAATTATTGATTAGATGACTAACGACTAGCATCAGGTGTTCAAAATTCAAATTCATTCCGACGGCTTTCGTTTGCGTTTCGTTTGACAATGGCCAATCGATTTTCGAAATTTTGGACTTGCGCAAAACTCCAGGGCTTCCCTAACAGAAGAACTTACATAAAATATACATGAAACGGGTATCTAGTTGTCTCTGACTTCAATTCGAACACATTACAGGTACAGGGTATAGGGGATAATCCATACCGGATGATGCATCGATGTTGGAAATGTAGGTAATCACATGCAAATTTTAAAACGTCCAAATACTGGCTCCCCTGTTGGTTTTTCAGCCAAGTCCTAAATAGTTTTTTAAAGGTGTGCGGATATTGGATACACATACCAAAATTTAAACAAATTTGGATACGCCGTTTTTAACTGCAGACCTTTAAAAACCTACTTACGACTTGCCTATAAAATCAACAGTGAAGACAATATTTGGAGAATTCAGAGTTTGCATGGAATTTCCTGTTTCAAACGACGATGCACTACCCACTATAATAGTTACTATACAGGGTGAGTCTTAAATAAGTCTAAAACATTTAATGCCCACTTGCACCGTTTGTATAAACTTTGTTTAAAGGCTAAACAGTGATTAACTATAATAAAATATGTATAGTTAATCACTGTTTAGCCTTTAAACAAAGTTTATACAAACGGTGCAAGTGGGCATAAGACTCACCCTATGTATAAGCCCAATATTAAGATAAGATAAACTATGTCTTAAGATATTTTACTTTGAAAATTTCTAAAAACTTTGATTTTTTGCTTAAATTTTGAGAGTGACTACTACAGTTAATCTTTCAAAACTGGATCTTTTCTGGGGTTTCTTCCTTGTAAATTTAATTTACTACCTATGTTACCATATTACATATGATAGGTTTTTTATCTAGTTAAAACTAAAAATTATTCCAAATTTTCAATTTTTTTTTCGCGAAAAAAAACTTATAGACGTGTTTCTGGGGTCGAAATAAACTACCCCTATTTGCACTTATTTAAGACGCACCCTGTATATATATATATATATATATATATATATATATATATATATATATATATATATATATATATATATATATATATATATATATATATATATATGTTTAAAAAAGAAGAAAGAATTTATTGGGAATCTTACTGTAGACTTGCAGTAAGATTAGCCATGAAGCATGACTAAAACATGACTAAAACTTTAGTCATGCTTCATGGCTAATCTTACTGTAGACTTGCCCAATAAATTCTTTCTTTTTTTTTATTATAGTCTCCACTAGGGGTGTAAGGGGTATTGAAGCGATACATATAGCCTAGCTTAACCAAAAGTCAACCTCACCTTCACGTGGTGCACCCTGTTTTCACAAACGAGGCTCTGACGTCCGAGTATAGGCGGTATAACACTATACAACCCTCAGACCTACCATCGTTCTGGGGAAGAGGAGAAGTAGACTACTCCTACCCGGCCGAGAGCGTAGCACAAGGGAACTATCGTCTCAGTCTTCACTGTGCCATAGTCATCCCGTGCTAACACAGCTTAACCCTTTTACGCAGCTAACACTCATCAAAGATGGAACATTCGAGTGGGGCAAAATCATCGTCCGGAGGTAAAATACCCCCTCGATCGGATCTCCGGGAGGGGGTGCCTACTCGAGTGTATCATCGGAGAATTAAGCAGCGTCAATGTTTCACGTTTGCGGCGTGGAACGTCCGCACTCTCCTGGACAGGTCAAACTCTAATCGACCAGAAAGAAGAGCTCTGGTCTCACAGGAACTCCACTGGCTAAGTATAGATGTTGCCGCTCTTAGCGAAACCCGCTTTGCAGATGAAGGTAGTCTGACTGAGGAGCATTACACCTTCTTTTGGAAGGGTCACCATGCCACACACAGTAGAATTCATGGCGGAGGCATTGCTGTCAAAAACGAAATCGCCACCAGTTTAACAGAAATGCCCATTGGAGTCTCCGAACGTCTCATGACCCTAAGGTACCCCATATCAGATAAAACTTACGTCAATATCATTAGTGCCTACGCTCCCACCCTAGCCGCTAACGTTGAGGATAAGGATAAATTTTACCAAGATCTACAAAATGCTCTCCAACGAATTCCAAAGCAGCATGTCTCAAACATATCAAAGCACCATGTCTCAAACGTATCAATGTATATATAATATATATCATGAAGTCATGATTACTAAATCTCGCTTAAGATGGGCTGGCCACGTATGCAGGATGCAAGAAAACCGCCTACCGAAATCTCTTCTTTACGGTGAACTTGTAGAGGGTAAGAGGAAACCGGGTGGACAACTCAAAAGATACAAGGATGTTGTTCATGGAAACTTAAAGGGGATAAGTATGCAGCATCAGTGGGAGGAAGCAGCGCACAATAGAACGCAATGGAGGAGAATTGTAAATTCAGTTAATAACGACAACCAAAAAGTAAAGAGGCAACAAAGTAATGAGATTTTTGAATGTCCGGAGTGCGGAAGAGAGATAACATCACGTATCGGGCTTTTCAGTCACAGAAAAGCTCATGACAGAAAACGCCCTGCGTAACCATCTTTTGATGCGTGTCAAATACTCGTCAGCGAGTAATGGCAGTAGTAGTAGTCTCCACGATAACATCTTTTGTTTATATGTGTTTATACATTAACAACGGTACCGAATGTCTATTAATGTAGAGATTATGGTACATAGCATAGTTGAATTTATTATTTAAGATTTAATATGTTCTTATTGAAAAATGATATTTCCTATATTAAATAATATATAGGAGGGAATTCAGAATAATCATTTCAAGATCCTGCTTACTCCATGGTACATTAGTATAATTTAACTAAAACTATTAAATTACTTAACCTAAAACTATTTACGTTTCGTATATCCCTTTTTAAGGTATATCCCAATATTTATATTTTATAAAAATAAACAAATCTATAACATACCTTTCGAATTTCTGCCATAATTTCCGCTGGATCTCTACTGGATGTAGTTTTCATCGACCATGTAAAACGAAGAGATCTAGGTTTAACGTGTTCATCATTTTGTGTTCCACCACCCACCCTGCAATGAAGTAGAACTATGCCTATTACTGTAGTAACAATCAAAACTATAAAATGTATGATGCACAAACCTACAACACATTCTAAAATACTAAATTTTAACAGAAATATCTCGTACGATAATTTGTAACTATTTAATACAAACATATACATGTTAATGCAAAAACATAGAACAATGAGTTAACTAAAAACAAATAATTAAATAGCAAATTAGTACTTTTATAAACCATTGTTGGGAATTATTTAAATAAATGATTCCTGATCATATTTATTTAATTAGCAGTTACTTTAAATTAAATTGTAATAGGTACAATTTAAATGTAAGTTAATTTTTCATTGTATTTTGCATATTTTGAAAACTAATAATTAAAACATGGCCCCTTCACAGACCTGCAAGGGTAATGTAATGGTGTATATGTCAGGCGTATCGAATAATCCGGCTTTTTGCAAAAAGACTAGGCATATTATAAAACGCCGGCATTTTAAATAAACGAGGGAGTTTTAACAAAGACCCTATCTACTTTCAGTCGCTTTGCAAAGTGACTAATAAGAATTAGGTATATTTAACTATGATATTTTCTGCAAAAAGACCGCTTGTTTTCAGTCATTCTTCAAAATTCCTAATAAAGACTAGTCATATTGCACAAAACATTTTACGCGGGATTGATATAACTAACTTAAATTTATCTAAGGAACATTTCTTGGAGTTCTCTTTCCAAATTAGGAAATAATGGCACAAAATAGCGATAATTCTGTTAATGAGAGTGTGGTCAAGGTCGATTATTATAAAAAACTAAATTCATTTTATTCTAAAAGACAGCAAAGTTCTACAAAGAAATTCTGGAATTACAGTGTATTGAATTATTATTAATTAAATGATTATTAATATTAGTAAGTATTTAATATATTTTGTATTTATTAAACTTATGTTACTTATAATAATTTATGAAATATGGTTCAAGTTGTTTCCGTCTTAAATAAATTGTTTTTTACAGTTAAATATGAGGTATTTTTATTAAAGCGCAAATAATTCTAACTAAGAGATCTAAACTTTGATCATTTTTTAATCTGCCTTGCCTCGATTTGGCGTTTTATAAAATGAGTGAAAACAGGCAGTCATTTTTGCAGAAATGTACAGAAAATATCGTCATTGTTTAATTCTTTGTAAAGCAATTTAAAATAGACAGGCTCTTTCTTAAGATTCCTTCTTTTGTTTAAAATGCCGGCATTTTATAATAATCTGCCAAGTCTATTTGCAGAAAGCAGGCGGCATATATATTAAGAAAAATATTTTTTCACGAAATGTATTTTTCTATTTCATCAGTCGGTATAATTGAACTTACCCTACTGAAGGTAAAGGTGAATTGCCATGTTTAACTTGTTGAGTGGGTTCTAATGCTCTGAAAATAACAAAGTTGAAACCATAAGAAACAAAATAAAATTTAGTACACAAGGATAAGTTAAACAAAAGTATTAATAAAAATTAAGTTATTAGAAATGTAAGACCTCACCTGTCGCATTGCTTTTAGTGCCATATTTTAAATAAAAATGCATTTTATAGTTGCCTAGTCATTCTAAATTTAATGAAAACAATGGAACTCATGGACTAATACTAAAATAGTATATATAAAAGATATAATCAGTCAGAAGAAAAATTATATTCAAAATTTATTACAACCTATGACAATGAAAAGTTGACAAAAATAAGGAATAAAGAAACTTTGTAAAATTTACAAATTTACAAGGAAATTTTTGTTATTACAATACTGAAATTAATGGTAAGGTCAAACGAGAATATTATGAAGTTGATTTTTCATAGCCTGAATTTATAAATTTTAATGTCATAAAATGTATTACAGAGAACACAAAAACAAAAGAACAGAAATAATAAAAATTTCTTTGATTCGCCTCACACACAGGATTAATTTTCAAACAATATATACATTTCATAGCACTGTAAAACTGACTGAACATTCAGTCTTGATTTTCATAATTTCAATTATAATGAATACATTAACAAGTTTGATAAAACATTTAGTATTTATTGCACCTCTTTTGCTCTAAAATAACAATAATTTATTATTTTAATAAAATGACTTTACAAGAACATAACAATTTGACTAACATAGGTTTGATTAGTCCACCGATTTATACAAAAAAAATCAAACTAACACTATTAATTTGTTTAAGTCTCTTAAGAATATCATTTTTGTTTGCATTTGGGAATAATTATATATCACTTAGGGTCAGCCATAACAATACCAAGATGGAATCCTCACGGCCTAGGTGGGAGGACTGGTATCGCTCCATAGAAGAAAGTTGAACCATGAGATGATGAGTGGCAGGTCCCTCCTTGTTTAATTCCTGAACCAGAAATAATTCGCTATTACAGACATCCACCAAGTATTCCCCTGTTCGCAGATTTATAATTGTGTACTCTTAATATGTGGCTTCATACATATATAAGGTATATAATATGGTATTTTACCTAAAAGAGGTTCACTATGCAAACAAACAGGAAACTCTTCATTTGTAAATTTGAAAAAAAATGAAACCGAGGTATAGAATAGCTTAAAATTAATTTTTCGGTGGATGATATAATGAAAAGAATGAAACATAGTATTTAAAAATAGGATGTAACGAGAAACCTTCTTATATAGTGCATTTTATGAATTCTTGTCAAAAGTATTAGGATGACCCCTAAAAGATCTCTATAAAATTCTAATAAAAAACGGAAGTGAAAGTAAATGGACTTGTATTATTTTTCTGTCAAAGTTAATAATGTATTTCCTCTATTAGACGTTAAGATCTTTTAAATTGAAAAATTCAAATATGGTAACTTCTATGTATCACATAAGTTTATTAAGTATCTGCATACTGTCCTAACGTTTTTACTATTATCACATTCTAAAAAATAATATATGTTCATCCGCATATGCCATTTAAAAGATATATACCAAGTGTCGATACTTGCGGTTTTTGAAGACTATGGGTTTAAAACTTTCAAGCTTCACTGATTTAATATTTCTTGTGTTTGTTTCAGAGACAAGATAGGAGGAATTCTAAATGTTACAATAGCAACAGTATTAATTACCGTCAAACATACCGAGTGATATTAAAAAAAAACAATCGGTAATATCTATCATATAAAAAGTACTATGGAGGGAGAACATGAGTTTCTTCGATGTGTTATTTGACACCTTAATGACAAAATTAAGAGATCTTCCTGACACTGACAATAAGGGCTATTTTGAGAAATTATAAATCAGGTAACAAATTATGGTATTATTATAACCGTATTTTGTTTTCGATTTGTGTAGTAAACTGTTAAAAAGTTAGGATGTTTTGCAAATACTCCATGAGTTAAGTCTCTAGAAATATAATCTTTTTCAATTAGATTGTTCAATATATCAGTAGCCTCTTGATGGCAGATAATTTGGTATATAATAAAAATATACATTTTCTCAGTAAATTGTGGTATTAGTTTATTATTAGCTTTCTAAATAAGATAAGAAAAGTTGAAATTTGTGGATCTATTTTCGACAATTAGTGACAGAATTTTGTAGTTTTTTCGGGCCACCCTGTATACATTTTGTTTACATTTCTCTATAGCTCTCATAAGATTGCCAAACCATTGCAGTCGACCATAATTATTCACACTATGATGCAATAAAATAATATATATAATAAAATAATTCGAAAATTTTAGCCTTCTCACTATACAACCTTTTTTAGGTAAATATCTTTGTACCTTATGTAAATAGGTTTATTTAATAGTTAGAGGTGTGTCAACTGTTTAATGTTATACATACATATTATTTTAAAAGAAATCTTAAAGATGTAAATTATTTTAAAGAAAAATTCATATTATTGTATCATTAAACGCCTTATCCAGACTGACATTATAATTTATTTAAAGAAATAGACTTATTTTGAATAATACAGTTAAATGCTGGTCATACAATCTTATAACAAAATATTAAAAAATTATTGAGAGAGATATTATTTAGTTATTCAAAATATTTAAATATAAAAGGTAACGAAGGTGGAAGGTGTCTTTCTATACGTACCTAGGTAAACAATTATCATAATGAATATCAAGAGAAACGTTTAAATGCATAAAATATGACACGCCTCTAATTTTACTCTTAAATTTGATAAAATTTTTAGTTTCTATATGAAATCGACCCAAAAAATAAAAATATATACATAAAGTATGATTTTTAATATTTTAACATTCCATACTTCGTTAGTAATCACAAAACAACATTATTCATTTCTAAAGAAAAGTGGTAATGTCATTAAAGATCTCTGCGAACAGAAGATTACTGGGTAACAAGACCCGTAATTACAATTCTATAAAAGAACTGACACGTTAAAAAAATGTGATTAAGAAGGGACGAACCACTCGCGCACACATAGCATCCCCAAAAATAATTGGACAGGGTCATTAAAAAGCGTTACATATAAACATCAGTTAAAACTGTTTAAATCCTAAGGATTTTTACTTTCATATATGTATACTTAATACAAAAAAGTAACACAAGCATTTGTTTTTCTATATGTATATTGTTTGAAATTATCCATTATATAAATCTATACACTTCTCATATGGCACATTATAATCTAGAGTAAGGTACACTTGAATATCATTTATACTAACCCGGTCATTCTAAATCTGTGAATAGTATTTTAACAGGTAAAATAACGATAAAGAGAGTCCATTTACAAAATATCCATATTGACAGTTAAATAATATCTTTTGACGTCGTGTGTCAAAATCTTCCTTCACTCGTTGGACAAACTTTAGTTGGTTTACATTATAATAGACAGACGAAAGATGCTGGTTTGACATTTTCTCGGGTGTCATTGTTAAACATGCGCTTGGTAGGAATATTCAATTAAGCAGACACACCAACAGAATTTGGAATATTATGTCAGGTATTATCAGTGACGCATCTAGAGATTAAGTCTGGGAGAGATAGTGGCAATGTATAAGTAAACTACTAGATTTAAATCAAATTTTCGCTGAAAGGTACTGTGAAAATAAATAAACTTGGATTGGCCTGCAATCTTTCTTTTTTGAATGGAATTATTCGTTTATTTTATTAGAATTTTATTTTATGCTACATTTTAACTTATTTATAAACTACTTCTCGGGAGAGGCAATTACCACCAATTATCTCTTGTACATGCGCCCCTATAGTCTAAGAGCTAGCAACGTTTTCGAGAAAGTATTTTAAGATCTTTTACTATGGTCTCTGGAACAGCATGCGGGCCGTCTGGCTGCCGATACCCGTTGCGTTCACTACTGCGCATTGAAAGAAGATCCTATATTTTTTATTAATTTAGTCCTATAAATTCTGGTATCGAATATAAATCGAACATGTCTCCATAGCGCAGTGCGTAGAGTTTCCGACCACGAACCGATGATACAGAGTTCGAATCCGGGCCAGGTCAAAGACTTTTTTTATTTTATTTTCGTTTATATTCTGATAGTAAAGTATTAAATAATTCTGATAATTAAAAAACAACAAATATTTAATACTTTACTATCACAATATGAACGGAAATAAAATAAAAAAGTATTTGCCCTGACCCGGATTCGAACTCTGAATCTTCGGTTTGTGGTCGGAAACTCTACGCATTGCGCTATGGAGATATGTTCGATTAATATTCAATACTAGAATTTAAAGGACTAATGAAAATATAGGATCTTCTTTCAATGCGCAGAAGAGGCAGCCAGACGGGCCCCATGCTGTTCTAGAGAGCATAGTAAAAGATATATCAAAGAGCCAGACGTCTTAAAATACTTGTTTTTCCGACGTTGCTAGCTCTCGTACTACTAGCTTTTACAACTGTAGTAAAATTACTAATTAATTGTTGATATACGTATCAGTGGTCCAACTCTAGCTTCAATACTAATCAAACCGTTTTCCAAAGTGTTTTTAAATTCGTGATTGTAACCAATATCGTACTAAAGAAATGTATATTATACATTTTTTGTCTGTCTTTTAACATGTTTGATTTTTCCATTAGGATATCTTATACCTTTACCTTACAAATTAAAATTCATATCACAGATTTAACATGACCAGGCCTGTATATTATCACAAATATAAAGCCAGTAAACCCAATCGATTAGATTAAAAATCGCTCCAAACACTACTCTACTATATACTTGTTTTAGAACATTATGCAAGCAATAATACTAAACAAAACATGAAGTTAGAATTTATATGAAATATTTACGCATATTTCTTATAAAATAAGCGCATAATAAGTTTATACACGTTATGCCCTATAAAAATGGTGTTATGATATGTCCAAAGAAGTTATATGTTATAGAAATGATACTAATATAACGCTTTATAATAAGCCACAACACCAATTTACGAATAAAAACCTATTCATATAATAAGTTTTGTGTGTAGAATTAACTTTTTGATTAGTGTATTATTTAAACCTCTTTCAGTTACAAACAGTAGCCAAAAAGCAAATAAGATATGTGCAAATTTCAAGCAAACACAAAATGCAAATGAACATTCTACTATAGTCCGTCCAGTGAAAAATGATAGTGACAGGTGTCATCATTTTAATTCATTCAAAGTTAATTGTTTGTGACTACTTTATTATGACATATCTGTCAATCATGATCATTAATTTTCTGGCTGGAGAGACTATTCCATATATGTATAAACACTATTCTGAGCATTTCGATTTAATAATACCATTCAGGAAGTTTCTTCCCATAGAAAATATGGTCATAAATTTTTTTTATTACTATAACTCGAAACAGTGCATACGCGTATAAGTATTTACTATTATTTAATATTTTGATTAATAAGTATAAATGAATAATCGCTATTTACAAAAATAGTAAGTTCATTGTAGTAAAACAGAAATTACTAAAATGGAAATTAAACATAAATGTTGGAGTTATCTATATATTTCGGAATTTTCGTTTATTCAATAAGAGTTGGAACTATTTTTTTTTCAAGATGTAAATAAAATAGGCTTTATACTACTGCATTTTATTATTTCACAATAATTGTAGAAAAAATCACAGTTTACGGATATTTTTTAACATATTCTTTGGAATAATAGTTGTATTTTTTGCGAGTATAAAGTTTTGATAACGGTAAAAATCGTAACCCCCCCCCCCCCCAAAAACAAAATGAAACCAAGTAAATTTTTATGAAACAATAATTAAAGCATATAATAGTTAAAATGTTGGCTTGGAAATGAAGATCGACATTCCCCATATAATACATATATGCTGCTAAACTACATACACAACTCTTGACATCGTTTTTTGTCGATGGTCTAGTAGTACCGTGTACCGTTTACTCCAAAAAAAAAGAAAATCAGAAATAATTGAAATAACAATTTAGTGTGTTTATACATATATTTGAACTACTGTAAACATTAATTATGACAGTGAATAATAATGTATAAATCTAAGTTAATAGAATTATATTAAATAAAGTAGATATGAATGTTCAAATAAAAATAAATTGCTTTGATTGCTAAGAGCGAATATTTGGTTGATTTTTAGTTGTTTATTTAATGTTTGGTGATACTCTGACGATAACAAAGCTAACTAAAAATTTAATTTTTATAATATAATTATTTTAATAATTATTGAAACTGATAATAAGTTTCACAACTTGTTACATTCATATCGAATATTTTGTTAGTGATACTAGACTTACCCCACAAAAATTTAAGATTAAAGTACTAATTGGTCTCTTACCTTTTAGTGAAACCCTTGAGGCTGAATTTAGCAAAAAACGAAGGCCTAGTATGCGGCGAATCTCCGGGGGTTCCCTGAGTGTATTGTGCTCGGGGGCGTGTTTGGCCCGAGTGGAAGGTGCTTCTCGACGAAGTGTTCCGGGGAAAAGCTTGCTGCCGCGTGGCAGCCGGTGAAGCGCTTGTTCGACTGAAATTGTAAAAAAATAATAAAAAACGCCTATTGTATATAGGTGCGAAACAAATAAAAATACCCTGTTAGTACAGATAAAATTCAAAGAAAATCATGGCAAATTATAATGCCAATTTTCAATAAATATGACATACATTTTCAATAAATGTCATATAGTACCCGAACAGACAGAAATTATTGTCACTTTTGCGATCGTATGGTACATTATACGCCTTGCGCTAGTACCAGGAATAAAAATAAAGCAAAGCTGGTGGGGTGGAAAGATAAAGCTATCCAAGGAATCTAAAAAAATAACAGACACTGTTACTGTTCAATCATATCATCTTTTGTATAGTCACTATCAGAGTTTATTTAAAATAGCGAATGGGATTAAATAATTATGATCACGACATCAACACTGTTTTTTTCACTACCATGCCATTTTTTGTCATAATTTAAAGAACACGTTTTTTAAACAACTTTTATGAGAGTTTGATCCAACCACACCACATTATCGGATGTAGTTAAAATTATGACTTAGTTGCATAGAGGATAAAAAAAGATCGTCACATATTACTGTCGCTCTACTGTGTTCAAAAATCGCTATAAGAAGAAACTCAGAAGCATATATAAATTTAACGTTGTGTCTCGGTGCATGTTAACGTGTAATCTATTATAATATTTAAGTACACGGAAAAATCAGAAAGCTTTCCGCACTAAATAATGCCTAGCTATACCCTCATTACGAAAGCAGCCTGTGGTTCCGTGGGAGAGGCGGCCGCTTTGGGAACAAGGGGCCAGAGGATCGAATCCCACAAATATAGAATATTTTTATTTTTTTACAGCTGTTTTATTTTTTTGCAGCTGGCGGTAATAGCAATCACAATACGCTGTAGGCGTGTTTTGATAGTGTTGCTTAATCTCTGGGGTAATTTTTTTTGTTTAGATTTTTTGTGTTTTAAATGGGTATTTCGCGGGCACCGAAGTTTTATTTTTAGTACACGTTAACCGTTAGGTTAGTTAAGTTGCTAAATTTGTGAGAAAAAGTCTTTAAAAAACGTCCTTTTTAATTACGACAAAAGAAGTACCATTTTAAAAATAGTCTATGATATGTTCCTCGCAATTTTTAAACTCTAAACGTAACTCGTATATACAAAAGATATATTCCTTAACCAGCCCCATTATTTTTATATATTATAAGTACATTGCACTAAATTTACACCACTCTATACTTAATAATAAGTAAGTAAGTACTTAATAAGATTAAAGTATTTGGAACACATACAAATTGATAGATAGCATTGCACTCATTTTTCTCCAAAATAAAGTGAATCTTATTACTAAACTTTTTTGTGGTTTAAAAAAAATCAAATAACATACAAATAAGTATATTACTTATAAACAGAATAGATCAAAATCAAATTGAAAATCCTATTTAATGGAATGTACGAAAGTGTTCCTTAAAATAGCAAATAATATTCTGTTTTCTGAAAAGTTTTCTATTATTTGTCTTAATTTACGTCATTATTTGTCTTAATTAAGTGTCAAAATTACAAATGACATTTCAAGGCTTGTATAGTTATATCAAAAGAAATCAACGCAATATATTATTTGTGCAGTTGATAATAATGAAACAAAAAGCAAACACAAAAATAAACAACTTTAGCCACTAAAATGATGTTTTTTAAATCAGTCAGTTAACACATCAACTCCAAGGTTAGGACACCTATTTCAAGCCTACACCTACCTAGTACGTAAAGGGTCATTAGCATTGGCATTTTGGGGTTCGGGTGGACCACTACTGCTCACAGACGCAGACTTGACGTGGCCCTTAGCTGTGACAGGTCTCAGGGTATCACCCAACGATTCGGGTCTACATGCGGTTAGCAAAAAGAGATCAAGTGTTATTTTACTGTTATATAAGAGGAATTAAGAAAACAGGAAATATTGCACTGAAAAGAGCAGTGTAGAGAAGGTTATTATCATGTCTTTGTGGATGGTTGGGAATACTACAGGATTAATCTACTACCTATGACCGTTACCATCGAAAAGGCAGAAGGCCTGACGGCTTACGCGTGACGTCATTCTTTCTATATATAATAAATTAGATGTATACCCTGCTGGCAAGCTAAACTTTGGTTCGGCATTTACATGTATAGGAGTGAATCGCTATGGCAATCTAGTAAGTCGGAGAGAGCAAAAATACGAAGTATTTATTACATAAGTACTTAATCTGACCCTAGATTCTATGCGCTTGGGAAAATACTTGCTTTCTGTCTTTATTCAGTACATCTTATTTTGCTAAGTGCGTTGACCGTACTCTTCGTACACACGAAAATCGGCACCCAAGATCATCAATGCCAGCCCTAGTATTGCATTGAAATTTTATAATCATGAAAATTAAAAATAAAAATTAGATCGCTATAGGAACCAAAACTATAAATATTATATTAAGATACGCATTAAAAGGACCGTATAATCGAAAAAAAAACGGCGTTAAAAAGTCTGTTTATAACAGACAATTCTGACAATATTTTCAGCATCAGGAATATTACATTTTGGAAAGTATAATAACGTTTTATTTTTAATGAAATTCTAAATTATTGTTGATGCTGTTGATAAGATTTTTGATAAAGATAATTTTGTTAAGACCAATACACAAAAATATCCACTTAAATATAAAATAACCGGCATTTATTTTTTCACACTTTTAAATCTTGCTCAAATATTATTATTGCAATATTATTAAAACTGATATTCAAAAAATCCGTTTTTTTCCAAAAAAAACTCCGCAATCCTTGAATTTTTTAAACTTTTTTGATGGCATCTTGGTGAACTGTTTCCGATTTTAACCATCTTCGTTTCTATTACGGTTTCCGAGATACCAATGCTCGTACCTCGAATTTGTAGCACCCTGTATAAAGTAACGTTTAAAGGTAACTAGAAACATTCCACAACTAGATGAAATTTTATAACGATCGTCCGATTTTCTTTCGATGACGATCAGATTTTTCCGTTAGAACTGCCCGGCCTAATGTTTTCTCGATGGTTACAGTACGACCCGATTAATGGCCACGTCATAAAATATACTACCATTATACTACATTCCCATGATTTCACTTGGTAATATTATATTATTTTATATGATTAGTATTATTAAAATTTAATTAAAAAATGCTTATATATTAGAAAACACTAAGGTATATATTGCAATGAGAATTTTATAGTAAATGTTTAAGATAAGTATGTAGTAAATAAGACTACGTGAAACAATTATTAAATGTCCATTTGAAAAAATACAACTTTAATTCTCAGACAGGAAACGATAAGTAATTTTATCAGAACAAATGGGTCAATTTTATTACTAAAAATGTCCTTAATGAATATTTCTCATATCACTGTATGCATCAATATAATATTTGGCCATGTTATAAACATTTTTTTTTCTCTACTCATAATCAATAAAGGAAAATCGAATTAAGTATACAGTTACTTAAGTGTATACATGACAACTATACTTTGTTTTTGTTTTGGTTCTTCCCGATTTTAATTCTTATTTAGAAATATTTAATAGATATTATAAATAACACACATATTTTACAATATTATTTATTAAATGTTAATACATTACTCACCCAGGCAAATCAGGAGCTATATTAGTCTTTTCTGTACTTTCCGATTTTCCATCATAACTGATAGTCGATCGCCTACCAACTGTGGTCCCTAAAGATAACGTCGTATTCTTAGATACAGTTCGAGCTCTAGCTGTAGCTTGTACTCCTAATATGACAAAAATAAAACAGATGCTACAACACTAAACATAGAAGAACAGAAAAAAAACAAAACAGAGAGTAGACACATGGAGAATAGCAAATGTAAAATAAGAAAAAATATTAATATAGCTTGAAGAAATGACTTCTCTACATTTTAGTGATTTATAATTGTGATTGAATATATAGTATAGACATGTGATGTATAAGCAACCTACAGTGATTCTATTTTATTAGAGGATAAAATGTTGGTAACAATGAAAATATTTGGAAGAAGCTTCTTGTTAAATAAAATATCTCAGAAAAGCTTGAATATTGTATTAATATTTAATGAAATAAGTAAACAAAAATCCTACACGATTAATAGGTATAGTTAGTTATCCAAAAAATCAAGTGTCTCTTCAATCTTTAATCAATAATAATTCAAAAACAATTCCATGACAAATGGTAATATTGAATTTTAAAAATACAAATATTCTTTAGATATTTCATAGAAATATTTACTTAATTAAAATATATACAAACATCATAAACACTTAAAGTTTTGTAAAACAACAATTAACAAAGTGTAATAATTAAATATTATATAATATTAAAAAAAATGTAGTATGACGAAAGAAAGTACGTATGACAGATTACATGACAGTGTGTTTTAATTTGTTAATTCGTAGGTAAAGTCTGTCCAACCAGAAAATACTTAACAGTGACAGTCGATGTCATTTTAATTCACAGATAAATTGAATTTTCTGTTAGTTTTGGATGTTGTCTATCAAAACCTTTTAACACTTATTGGATAGACTTTAGTTTTATATTAGCACTATACAGATGTTTTCACAACACCCATTTGTTACAAGTTTTTTTAGATAATTTAGATAGTATCAAGATAGTACTTTTTTAATCACTTCCACGTAATATTCTGATAAACTAAGAAATAAATGTACCACGGTGATGAATTCGTTCACATAACCCTAACAAATATTTATTAATCTAAGTGAAGTGTGCCACCTCACGGAGGCAAATGGTAAACCACATTGAGTATGTATGGCTAAATACAGGGTTTCAGAGATATTTATTGTGATACATGCAGGTTAATCTATTGAAGGTAGTAGAACATTTTAAATGTAGGGGTTGTACGGTTTTACCTGGACCACAGAAAGTGAAATAAAAAGTTAAGAAAAATGTATAACTTCATTTTTTCATTAGACCCTGTAAATTTTAAGTTATAAATTCAATGATTATAAAAATTTAAGTAGAGTAAAACATGTACATAGAAGTTAGATTGATAAATATAATAGGAGTAGGAAGTTTTCTTTAAGTCAGAAATAGTTGTTCTTTTTTATACTTTTTTTTTGTATGTGGTGTTTGGTTTAACACAGGCATTTGTTTGCTTTGTATTAACACACATACTAAAATATTATATTTTTTGAAAATAACTTGATTATGTTTTTTCAGTTTTATACAGTCTTTTTTCATATGGGGATTCTATCTTGCTCATTCTATTTCGAAATATAATATAAAAGAAATAATTTGTCACTAAACTTTTAACCACTGTAACTGAACCACAATTATCCAACCTTATTTCTTTTGTAAAATAAAATAAACTACATTGAAATTAAGATGATAGACACATCTATCACTGTCAAGGATTTTGTCATTGGACAGACTATAGACTTCAAATTAAAGAAAATAGAACCGCTGTCTAATGAATAGGCTGTTTCTCCAAAAAAATCCTTTATGGGTATTTCTCCACTACACTGCAAGAAAATCTACAAAATAAAATAGTTATTTTTTGTAAACACTTCTGCGTTAAACCTAAACGGACACTGCTTGTCAGAAGTTATGTTTACAGTTATACAAATTTGCCTAACAAAGAAAAAAATGCTTAACGTTTCGGAAAGTTTATCTCTTTCCGTCGTCGGAAGCAAAAAAATACAAAAAAATAAAGAAAAAAAACTATTTAAAATATTTAAATTCAACTATTCGAGAACACTTTACTTTCTTAAAACAGATACGTCTAACAACGTTCTTAACAGAACGTTGTTAGGCAAATTTGTATAACTATAAACATAACTTCTGACAAGCAGTGTCCGTTTAGGTTTAACGCCCAGAAGTGTTTACAAAAAAATAACTATTTTATTTTGTAGATTTTCTTGCAGTGCAGTGGCGAAATACCCATAAAGGATTTTTTTGGAAAGATGAATTTTAATAGGCTGTTCTATTACTAAACGTGTCGTGTGAAGAACTCTGTTAGTGTATAAACAAACACAAACTGTTTGTATGACTTAATTTAAGTTTAAGTTCTAACTTGAGAATAAATTGTGCATAGCATAAAATTTATCTTAGATTTTTCCTGGCATAAAAAAACATCATCAACTTACTATTTTCTGTAATGGTCTTTGGTTGAGCACTTGCCGGTCTAGAATTTAGTCTAGCGCTGTTCTCTTTAATGGTGGCGCTATCTACCGTATTTTGTCGTTTGAAACCGGTTTGGTGATTATTAGTTTGAGACGTAGGTACTTGTGGTTGGGGTCCAGTTCGTAACGTCTCGCCTATAATAATTCAACAACAGGTTAGCTCGGCCGCTCTTACTCGTTTGAAAGTAACACAGCAAGCTTGCGATTCATTTGTACTTACCTATAGTGCCACCTGGGGAGTAAGAAAAAAAGCTACAATTAAAATCTTGAGTCGGAAAAAAATATTTTTTTACGTTAGATAATTTACACATATCAAATATATCAGTTAATTTAAAATTACAAATATTTAAGTCAATTTAAGTGACGCGATGGAATTAAAATTATTTAAATATATTTGATAAAATTCTTTTAGATCAATGTGTGTACAAAAATACTGAATATTATATATTGTGTACAAAAAGTTCGCCAAAAAAGGGAAAATATAATATTGAGGAGCCAAAGTAATATTTATGCGGAATTACTTCACCATCCAAAACAAAAAAAAAATAATTTAGATGTAAAATCGAAAATCTAAAAAAAAGAAAAGTTATTTAGCTTTTAACTTTTTATTCAGATTTCTTTTGTGATTGGGTATGTTGAAGTAATTCCGCATAAAAAACTTTTTTCAATAGGTAACTCAATATTTAATATTTTGCCAACTACTTGGCACCTCCTGTAGTATGGATATTTGTTATCGCTGGATATTATTCACGTATTACCATTTTTTACACACCCTAGCTATCATGTATTATATTTATATGTGTAAAGAAAATCAAATAGTTGTGACAAAATAAAATTAAGCAAATGTCACAACTAGTTGTATGCTCTTAGCATTGTTTATTTACAAAAACAAAGCTGAGGCATCTAATTACAACTGCAATTATCAAGTATATGGAATCTACTTTATTGGTTAATTCTATATGAATATCGAAAATACCCAGAGTTACAGAGAAATGTCAATTTCTGCCGGGATAAAAACCTCACACCTAAACACACGTTTAGAAAATCGGGACAAATCAAACAACAGATAAGTAGGTATTATTAAGCACAGTACAAAAATTGACATTTACAATAACAGAGAATGACAAGTTTGTTAGTAGTGCACCAAACCAAGTGTTACCTGCCAAGGGTAAAGGGGTACCAAATGCCAAACCTCGGAAACCTAAAAATGTTAGAAACAATTTTTCTCAAGTAACATATACATATATAGATCAATAACACTACAAGATATGGATGAGAATTAGAAAGAAATTTGTACTAATATCACACACCACTGTACAGTTAGAAAAGCGAAGTTAAAGCTAGACAAAGAGGTACTTTTTAATAAAGAATATTCTTTGGTACACATTGTGTTTGAAGGCAGTTGTAATTAAATTAATTTCTGCAAATCTCAAGTACTTATATTTTTAACAAATATGACAAAAATATATAAATATCCTATAAAAAAGATAATATAATTTTGAAATGTTTCTAGTTACGATATTTATTATTCATCGAATATATCTTGTTACTGAAAATGTTACTTTATTATGCAAAATTTATTCTGTTCTTAGAAAAATTAATAGAACGTATAGAAACGAAATAGAGTTTTGTTTATAAAAAAACATTAGTAATTGAGCATCAACATTTGATATCAAGTATGGTAACACTAAACTTAAAAATCATACCCATGTAGTGAATAGGATTTATTGTAATGAACGCCGCAGTTAGCTAATACATATTATGACTGAGTTTAGTCCAGTTTTGTATTTAAATCTATAAATATAGAACTGGACTAAATTAAATCTAAAAGATCTAAAAACCCAAAAAATGTTTTAAAAAAATTCCAAATTTTAAAAAAAAATTACAAAAAAACTCAAAATCGTGTTTATGCGGTCCAGATATACTACCCCTAAAAATATTTGTAATTATTTAAGGGTCACCCTGTATAAATTTGGGTAAATACCCAAGGTCTTGCACCCGGTATATACCCAATTTGGGTAAATGCCATTATACCCTTTATGCATAGAAATACGAAGGCGATTCTTCAGCCGTACGGATTCCCTTCGTGATTTGATCAGATCATATATGGATCAGATATGATCCATTCTTTTTTTTTTGACTTCGGACGAGTATTTCATTCATCCACGCAACGATAGGTGGAGCGATACGCTCATAAATAAGCTAATTTGATGATTGTGAGCAGTCGGCCTTATTATAATAATATATATATATATATATATATATATATATATATATATATATATATATATATATATATATATATATATATATATATATATATATATATATATATATATATATATATATATATTATTATAATAAGGCCGACTGCTCACAATCATCAAATTAGCTTATTTATGAGCGTATCGAGCGTAACCTCGGCCTTTTTATGCCGAGAACAAGACCGAGATATCGGCCTGATTTTTACCCGAGAATGATTGTAACTGAGACCGAGATCTCGGTCGGACTTTAAAGGAGATTACCCTACAACTGCATATTAAATACCCCGTATAATAGTATATACCGGGCATATATCTACAATATTCCTCAATGGGTATATACCCTACCCCCTTCTAGGATATACCAGGCATATGCCCAAATTTGATTTACCTACACGTTGGTACCCATCTCCAATCAGTGCTTACAACGTTGCGACCTCCCATGTTACCCACATTTTACATATTTATGTGTTTATAAGTTCACAGTAATATTAATATTTTACACAATAACTTACAAAAATTAATTTTAATTGTATCAGTGACATTATTAATTCTAAAAAAAACGCAAATAACCTAATATATTAAAACACCCTAATATATTTTGCAGTTTTTTGCAAATTGAAAGAATAAATTTTAACAATTATTGCAGATTCTCTTATCGCCATATGAAGTACATAAAGTACTTTCAATCAAATTTAGTGTATATTTTCTTATCGATGTGGCAGCATAAAGCGTCGAATAAGCTGAGATCTGGCTGATTGCCGGTTGGTTGGCGGGGTTACCAAAATGTCTTAGTCAAATACAATATTCCCGCAAAGCCACAATAGGCCCTCGCGGCCTCAGTGGAGGGTCCCCCTTGGGACCCACTCTTAGTCAAATACAATATTACCAAAATGTAGGATTTTTTTGAATTTAAAAAGTCAAATAACTGGGTTATTTTTAATTTCTTTTATATATGGAAATAGAAAATATTTCTTACGTCCGTCCAGATCTATGATCCCTTAAATTATTATATTCTTAAATTATATATTCTCCGCACTTATTAAAGATACACCCTGTATAGTTTCATTAATTTGTTTGTCCTATTTCTAAGATAACGTGTTGTTTTCTATTTAAGAATTGTTCTTTAATATTTGAAATACTTGAGATTGAGCAGAAATATACAATATACATTGAAAGCTACTGCCAACACCGTGATACGCACCTCCACTCGATGCCCTCCTGGTCGTTTTCGCATGGGTGGCCGAGATTGACCTGTGTACGCCTCTGTGAGAAGGACTTTGAGCCGTGGGTTGCGGAGCTCCGGGTTGTTGCTGCCCCGTCATGTTCCTTAATGATAGACTGGAACCACTTCGACTACCGTCGCTTTCGGGCTAGAAATTCATGTTTACTCAATTAAATTTCGCTTATACCAGCTTGGTGCAATTTAGAATTGCCAGACGTCTGTGTTTTGCGGTAAAATTCAGATAAATTGTCACATATCACGGACATTCAATATACTATCGCGGAAAGCGCCAATCAAATTATAAAGCCAAATGTTATGTAGTTCACAAATTAACAAATACACACTTATGGCTTAACATTATTCCATCACACTTTTTGATTTAGCTTCATTCTTTTATGTCTAATTATTTCCCCTCATCTAATGTTATTTTGGTAATTATATTTACCTTCATTTATGTTGTTTGTGTTGTGTCAATAAAGAAGTTTAGACTATGATTTATTTTAACTTAGTTTTCACCCAAGGCAAGAGGTGGTGATGTGTAATTTATTTTTCGACGCCGATTTTGGCCCTCGTTTACTATCCCGGAATTGAGCTATAACAATCTGGCAACCCTAGGTGCAATAGATTTGGTTCCACCTAGGGTTATTACAATTATAAAATTATATAAAGCTATATATAAAGGCAGTTGACTTACATTATTGAATAAAAAACAAGAAAGAAATATATAAACAAATTTAGCGCAACCGCAAAGGAACTATAATATGGTATTTAAATTGCGGTTTATCAATGGCGTTCTAATTTTAATTACAACATGTTAAAATATAAAGCAGAGTAGACTCAATAATTAGCTACTTTTTTACTTTAAGCCAATAAAAGTTACTAGCTATTAAATTGGTTAATATAAATATTTAATAATTATAAAATACCCCGTTACGCTAGTGAAATAACTAACTCAAATTGACGCATCTTAATTATTTCTGACAAGTAGTAAATAAATGCGAAAACGCAAGAATAAAAACATAATTAGTTAAGTCGAAATGAATTCCGAGTTTGATTGGTTCACTACTCAGGATATACGTATAATTCGTAAAAAGTTGTCCGATTATTTTTTATAATTTTTGTCTGCGAACGATCGCACGTTGCAAATTTGTACACTATGTGTAAAACCAATTATAAAAGAAGCAAGAAATAACAAAACATAAATCCAAAAACCCCAGCGAATACGTAAACAATCAGAGCAAAAAAAGTTTAAATCAAATTCAAATGTATGAAATAAAACGCCGAACAACGCTGAAAGAAGACGGTATTTCCATGATATCCATTCTGTCTCTAATGCATGAAAATTCTTCTTCACAGATATATGCTGTCTGACAGAAGGATAACGATTGTATCAAAATCGGAAGACATGCGGAACCGATATTTAAATGTTTGAAATTTCCTAATTTGTTGTTGGATTTTATTCGCTGTATTGATGAACGACACGGGTAAATATTTCATTTCATCAAAGGGGAGGACTATTATCGCCATCATAAGCTCATTATAATGCGCAATCGTCATTTTTCAAAAAATCGGACTATAAATAAAAATGTACAGGGTTGCCAGTTCACTTGTTTAAGATATGAAAAGAGACAATAAAATTGAATTAAATGAGATTTACTTTACCAATAGAATTCCCAATAATATTACAATTGTATTAAAATTACTAACTGTTGGTATATTTATTATTGGTGCAATTTTAGTGGCAATACAATTTCAAACTTTAAAAAATATTTTAAATTTTTGATGTGAAATCCGGCAATACCGCATGGAAAAAATGTAACAATCCCCTTTTTGACTCTTTAAAAGTGGTGCATATTTCTAAAATCGTCTACTATTACTACACTGAATAGACTGAATTTAAAGGCGGTGTTTGACTTAAGCCGAGCTCTATGTAACACTGTGGTATACGAGTATTCGCTAGACAATGCGGGGAAAAAATCGACGAAGTGAGCGGCTCGCGAACAGCAACGGTGCTCCACTCGACAGTCGGGTTTTTAGCATGATACAAAGAATACAAGGTATGATATTGCGCAGGTTGGTCACTACGTCACTGGTGATAAACGGCACCATTGGTCGCAAGCTCCGCGCGCCAATTTCAAATTGTCAAACAGATGACACATAATAAATGTGAGAATAATTTTTCAAATGTCAAGCTCGATGATTTGACATAACTTTTAGGGTTATGTCCTAATTCTTCCTTATTTTAGTCTTTTTTTATTAGTGGCAATTGAACAATATGGATACTTCCATGAACGAACAAGCGTTACATTACAGCACTCGGCTCAAGTCAATCTCCGCCTTAAGAATAAAAACAAAAGAAAATCAAACAAAAATCTCAACAGTCACAACACTGCTACGCATATAAAAAAGAAATGGCTACATACGTCTGTACTTTTTCTTCCTAAAAGTAGATATGTTGCATAGGCATCATCATATTTTTGAGAATCTAAGGAATTTTCTACATCATATCTATTAAAGCCTAAACAAACTAGAGCTTCAATTCTCTTTGGATCATTCATGTCCGCTTCAGGTTCAACATAAGGTTTCAACTCGTCGTTTTCATACCTATAAAAGAAAATTATAGTGTAAAAAACTTAACTTTAACGATAACTCAATCTAATATAATGGTGGTTTAAAACATGTATCTACTTAACACATTTCATGCAGTGATGTTGAGACACCTTCAAACTTCTGAGTTATTTACCTTAAATTAGAGAAATTTGACGACAATAACCAGTTAATATAACATAAAGTGTCAAATATAAATATAAGAAAACGACTTGTTTACATTACAAATCAGATGTACATTTGGCCGAATGAAATTATTAAATATAGTCTTATCTGAAATTAAATTAACATTAATTAATATTTCAACAAACATTTCATCCTATAGCATGCATTACATTGAGTACAATACAACATTAACTGGTATTTGTTAGGCGTTACTTTATATTTTTTGAGCCAATGTTACAATTTAATATTAAAATAATTTTGAAAATAATTAATTAGTCCTTTAATATAGGATGTATATGTTCGTAAAATATGTTGATAACTATAAAGTTCTAACAATATAACTTTAACAAATTAATGTATCATATCATATTTATAGTATTAGTACAGGATCCGGCTGCATGATTATTACGCTTATTGTATTTTTAATCAAAACCTAATTTTTACGTTATTATGAATAGGAGAATAGACTTATTATAGGGTGCCTATCAAAAACTTGCCGCAACTAGGGGTTGCCACGTTTCAAAGTTTTTCCTACGAGTCCGGCAACAGTGTGTCGGGCATCTATAACTCTTATAATAAAAAACTTAGGAATTTTGTATAAGTGCCAAACTAAAGTATATACTAGGATGTATTTCAGGAAAATATTTTAACTTGTACAGTGTGGCTCAAAAAAGTATGAGTGGATCGAGATGACTTTTTTTAAATGGAACATAAAAATACTTGTATATTAGCCTCTCATTAGCTCTGTACATTATTGCTTTTAGCTTCCTTTCTGATCACTCTGCATGATCCTAAAATATTATTAAATATGTTTCGATAGTTTCAGAGATATTAATAAATAAATAAAAAAAGAAGCGTTTTCCCCAGCTTTTTTTAAAAAAAAAATATTAAAAATACAAGAAATTTTCTGAAATCAAAAGTATATTAGATATTTACTTTAGATAGTCTGTACTTAACTTTGCTACAAATATCGTAATTTTAACTATACAGGGTGTTCAGGTTGTTAGATGAAGAATTAAAAAATGAATATTTTTCGATTTAAAGTATTTCAAAATATTTAACGGTTTCGCAAATATTCACGTTTTTATTATAGTACAGGATCCGGCTGCATGAATATTATGCTTGTCGTAGTTTTAATCAAAACTTAATTTTTACATATATTTATGAATAGGAGAATACACTTCTTACAGGGTGCCTATCAAAAACTTGCCGCAAATAGGGGTTGCAACGGTTGAAAGTTTTTCCTATTGACCCGGCAACAGTGCGTCGGACATCTCTAGCTCCTGTAGTAAAAAACTTAGGAATTTTAGGATCCTGTAATAAAAAACTCAGGACCTAAAGTATGTACTAGGATATATTTCAGGAAAATATTTTAACTTCTACAGGGTGGCTCAAAAAAGCATGAGTGGAACGGGATTTTTTTAAAATGATATATGTATGTATATTATTCCTTTGTTAGATGGAGAATTAAAAAATGAATATTTTTAATATTTAAAGCAATTGTAATTTTGTAATGGTTTCGCGTTTTTTTATTACATATGGCTCTTTGAACGATAAATACCAGACTAATATTGACACAAGATACAGACTTTGAAATACTTTAACGCACCACCCAGTAGATGCCCGACACACTGCTGCAGAACTGTAAAACTTACTACAATTTCATGCTAATACCATACCATCTATGTTTTACAACACCTATAAGAAAAATTAATAACTAACCCCACGTACCCCTGGTTCATCCACTTGTCCTTCATGATGGTCTCGAGGCTGGCTCGTTTCGCCGGGTTCAGCACCAAAAACTTTTTGAGCAGATTTTCGCAGTCCGTGCTCATGTAAAAGGGGATGCGGTATTTGCCCCTTAAAACGCGCTCCCTTAACTCCCGCAACGTCGAGCCGTCGAATGGTAAGCTGCCCGATACCAAAGTGTAAAGGATGACGCCTAACGACCAAACGTCTACTTCTGGACCATCGTACTTTTTACCCTAAAACAATATAACAGATTGATAAAATGAGAAGGCAATTCTCATAGAACATGGATGATTTCATTCATTCAAGTGGAGGACAAGTCGAAGGAAAATAAGTGTTGACCCAGAGTTGTATTAGCCATCAATTAAGATTGTATACCGTATATGTTATTAAAAACTGGAGTAGTTGTAAAGTAAAGACATCAGACGATAGGTTTTAATTCAGGAAGTGTTTGTAAATTATTGAAATATTTTTTTTTTGTTATATTTATGTTGTGTTTTATTGTACCTGTGCAATATTAAAACTTTTTATTCGATATATTGATAAATATAATAATAAATGCGCGAAGTTTCTTCATGTTTCAAAGAAATAGTTTACTTAGATTTTTTGGGTGTGGTGTATTATTTAACATACACCTTTGTTTTGTATTAATACAGACCCTAAAATATATATTTTTCTGTTCATAATATTTTGAAGTAATCACTTATCACTAAAATTTTAAATATTTTAATTTCCTGCTCTGCGCTCCAGTCGTACCAACCTATTTCTTTGTAAAATAAAATAAACTACTTTAAAATTATAACAGACACATCTATCACTGTCAAGGATTTTGTCGTTGGACAGACTATACACTTCAGCTCTTTATTGTAGAACTATTTGTACTACTTACTAAATAACAAAAATGAATCTAAAACACAGTAATCAGAAGAACAATTTTAGGAGGACACTGTAGAGGAAAAAGTGTAGAAAATACAATAAAATGTAAACCTTATGTTCTTGATATTTTATAAAAAAAAGTCATTTGTAATTGTTGTCTATGGCATTTGAGAAAATATACGATTTGGAATACTGTTTAACAAGCAAGGGTACAGGTGGTCTTCCAGATCACTGGTGCGCAATGTCAGAGGATGTATAGCCCCGCCTCCAGGCCACACCCCCACAACGTCAATCTTGATAGTGAATACAGATTATATCAAAATATATTTAAACATCTTAGAACATTTTAATATACATTTCTTTTATCTCGTATGAATGAGATTCGTCGTTTTGTTTGCTATGTATAAACCTAGTTGCTATAAATAATAATATGATATATAAATATTCAAATAAAAATGAATTAAATCCCACCTGGAATAATTCTGGTGCAGCGTAAGGTGGACTGCCGCAAAACGTGTCTAACTTGCTTCCTGGAGTAAATTCGTTGGAAAAACCGAAATCGGCTATTTTAATATTCATTTCACTGTCTAACAGCAAATTTTCAGCCTTTAAATCTCTGCAACAGAAAAAAAAATATTTTAGAAAAATTAAATAATACGAATTTAAAATAACCAAAGCATTAAAAAAATAAATATTTTTTTACTGTTTTATTTGCTAATCTGTATATATAATCTATAAGTGGGTTTAATTTAGTCTTACGTATTTTTAATGAGCATATAAAGATAAGATATATAAGATATAGGTAATTAAAGACGGTTATTTACAAATATGTTTCTAACAACTCTCTGATTAACTGACTAAATAGTTGTTTTCACTTCTTGGAATAAGAGCAATCAAATATCAAAATACAACTACTAATTTATCTCTACCTCTACTTAAATCAAAACCTCGTACCTAAATCAAAATCTACAGAATTATATGTAAACTTTGCTTAAATGATACGTTTTAACAAAATATTGATACAGATGCATAATTCTTTTTCTTCTAAAATTAAATAAACATTGTAAGGAAAATTACATATTACCTAAAGCTCCGAACACATAACATTTTACCTTACATTTTGTTTGCCAGTTAAAACGGAAGTCCGTCGCTAGAGAACTGATGGAAGTTATGAAGAACGGTCTTCCATCTTAGCCACGGCTAGGTATTTTACGTTTTACCTGCGGTTTTATTTATTGAACTTTAGAAAAAATATAGAATACTACTACATAATTATTCTTGTAGTGGTTTCGCAAACACGCAAAGGTAATTGTAAAAATCATATCCTGTGTAAAAAAATTGTAAAATTATATTATTTTTTAAAACTACGTAAAGATGCTGTAATTTATCCATCTTTTTTGTAAACATGACAGGTAAAATGTTATTTATAGGTATTTTTTTAAATATGAGACAATAGCCCCCCATACAACGGAATATTTGGCCTGCGGATTTGGTCTGCAGATCAAAATTTACCCGATTAAATATTCTTGTTTGGGACAAAATTCCACCTGTTATAGCAGTTTTTATACAGATAAATGTTTATAGTAATAAAAACTGCCGCTTAGAAAGAAAGTTTACAAGTCCGCCAACTTTATCCTTCGTTCGTTTTTTAGAACAATCTAATCTGACAGATTAAGTGTGCGGATTTGGCCTGTAACAGACTTGGTCAGCCACAGGCTATCCTGCCAGACTTGTTCCATAGGCAAGATCTTCTTGTGTATGGGGGGCTATTGTGTAGGCGGATGAGACAAGGTTTGATAAAAAGTACCCTATGATCGAAAGATCGAAAAAAACGGCGTCCAGTTAGCTGGGAAATGACGATCGATGACATTTCCAATATAAATTGACAGCGATCTTCATTTTCATAGCCATCGCTGACGCCGTTTTTTTCTCGATCATACGGTATAAGAAAAGTATTATTATAATAAAATTAAACCCAGTCTCTTTCTACAATTATAGTACGGGAGCTAGCAACGTCAGGAAAACAGGTATTTTAAGAAAGCTGGCTCTTTAATATATCGGTTACTATGCTCTCTGGAACAGCATGCGGCCCGTCTGGTTGCCGGAAAACGTTGCGTTCCCTACTGCGCATTGAAAGAGGATTCTATATTTTAGCTTTGTTTTGGTTCGAATTTCAGGACGATTCTAGAATTGCGCAGAACAAATTGCGTACTAGCTATTATCTCGGATCGGTTCGGAATCAATTCGAGAGAACCATAAACCAAAACACATCCAAGATTATTATTGTTGCGCATGTGCGAACTGTTAATTCGTAAACCGTCCCTACTGAGAGGCGCGAATCGTTAGGACGATCCTAGAACGGTCCAGAACCAGTTCCAGCCAGAAACCAAAACAGCTGTGTAAACATTCAGAATCAATTCCAAATGAACCAAAACATAAAACGCTTACGACGCGTGTGCGAACTGTCCTAAAGCGTGAACCAAAACAAAGCTTTTTATTAGTCCTTTAAATTCTAGTATTGAGTATAAACCGAGCGAGTCCATAGCGTAGCGCGTAGAGGTTCCGCCTATCAAGCGAGGAGTGTTTTCCCCGAGGAGAAAGTCCCCGAGAACTTTTTTATTTTATTATCGTTTAAATTCTGATAGTAAAGTATTAAATAATTCTGGTGATTCAAAAAAAACAACAAATATTAATACTTTACTATCAGAATAGGATCAGAATATAAACGAAAATAAAATAAAAAAGTTTTTACCCTGACCCGGCCTCGAACTCTGAATCATCGGTTCGTAGTCGGAAACTCTACACGCTGCGCTATGGAGACTTATTCGATTTATATTCAATACTAGAATTTAAAATTTAACGGACTAAATAAAAAAATACAGGATCTTTTTTCGACCCGCAGTAGTGAACGCAACGGGTATCGGCAGCCAGATGGGCCGCATGCCAGAGAGCATAGTAAAAGATATATTACCAGCTTTCTTAAAATACTTTCTCGAAAACATTGCTAGCTCTTAGACTATCAGAACAGTAGTTGAACACTTAAATAATTAATTTATTATCATTTAATCAATTTACACTAACCTGTGTATAATTCTCTTTTGGTGACAATACTGCACAGCAGAAACGATTTGCCTGAATTTAGCTCGAGCCTCTTTTTCCTTCATTCGGCCGTGCAATACGAGGTAGTCAAATACCTCTCCTCCCGAAGCGTATTCCATAACCAGGTACAATGTTTTTTCAGTTTCAATAACTTGAAACAGTTTCACTATGTTTGGATGATCAAGCATTTTCATTATCCTCACCTGTAAAATAAAGTCGTCGATAGAAAATTCTCAATTTAATGTTAATTATTTCTTGGTACATGATTTGGGTAATTAACAACTGTCATCAGTATCATGTAACGCTGTATGCTGTATGATCATAAAAAAATAAATTCGGTGTGATATGAAATCGAATTTTATTATCAACTCTCTTTTATTTGAGTTCCGGAAAATGAACATGACAGGGATTTTGGTAAAACACTAAAATTCTATCTAAATTAAAAAATAAATAAAAAAGTTTTTCCTCTTAAAAGCTATTGTTTCGATTCTAAACCAACTTTTGTTAATGTTAGCTTTCTTCGGGTCTTTGTTGTTACCGATTTTGCACCGTCCAAGAAAAATTACGTAAAGGTTGTTCTAGGACTTTAAAATTTCTTAATAATTCTGCTATATTTTCTTCGCAGACAGTACATATGTGAAAATCGAGGTGAAAATATATATATATATATATATATATATATATATATATATATATATATATATATATATATATATATATATATATATAAATTTACATGATGAAAATTGCTATACACTAAAAGGAAATGAATGGGTTTTTTAAAAATTTGAATGAAAAAAAAACAAGCGACCTATCGAATTTTTCTTATTTAAACATCTTGTAAAAGATCCTAACTTCAAGATAAAAAAGAAGTTTCAATATCTAAAGTGGTTCTTGAGTTATCGGGTGTTATGTGTTAAAAAGTTGAGATTTTAAATTATCGCGGTTACTGACGTTTTCTCGTTATAAAAAAATGGACACCTTAACGATATCCTTATAATTCCATTTCAGATGCTCAGAAACATATTTAATAATTTTATCTAGTTATCTTTTCGAAAAAAAGTCTTTTAAAAATAAGCGGTTTGCGATTGTTATTTTACTTTACTTGATAGGGAAAGGCGTACCGGCGAAATGTAGCATCACCGCAACAGCACACCGTCGCATTTCTCTCACTCCGACTTAATAAGATCCCTATGCACACATTGAAAATACCGACCCAAAAGTAAGAGTTGCCAGCACAGTATACTAGTTTGTTACACAAAATATTCAGTTTCCTAACTAGTTGCATAAATAACTATTTTTATTCCCTAAACAAATCACTAATTTGCCTACATAATAGCCATGGACTTACTTCTCTGAATAACTTCTGTAAGGAGCCAGGCGTAAGCTGGGTCTTGTCTATGATCTTGATGGCCACTTCCTTGCCCGTGGGCACATGCTTGGCCAGTTTCACCTTGGCGAAGTTGCCCTTGCCGATGGTCTTGAGCAATTTGTATTTTCCGATGGTAGGCTCGTCGCCCAGCCTGGGTCGGTTGCGGTTTGCCGACGTGGTCGAACTGCTACGGCCACTCGACTCCGTATTGTCATTGCTCTGTGAAGAAAAAAGTAATTATTAGTTTACTAATAAAAGGCTGATTGTGTATTTAGATTACAAGAGTTGTTTTAAAATGTGACAGTGTTAAGCGTTCTTGGACCAAGTACATTAATATGCTGCCATATAACTGTAGTAGAGTCTTATTTGTACGCTGCTTATATCGTATTAACTGTTTTATCCTAGTCAAGTTGGAAGGCTTCGTAACATCCAAGTAAGTTGGCGTAACGAAGTTTTCCAACTGGACTTTAGATAAACCAGTTGATGCGATACAAGCAGCGTACAGTGAGACGCGCTGGTATATAGCAGCATCCTTGGTCTAAGTAAGTACACCTGGTATGTGTCAACCGGGCGTTAGCATTTTATTTTATTTCACTTGAAACAAGCTATAACTCTGATTTTTATGAGCTACAACATTCATTAAAAAATTATGAGGTCTTTAGTAAAGTTTTAATACGTATTACGAAAAATGGTATACGCGGTGCAATGACACAGTAATTTATATATAAACTACATATAAATTCAAAGGATTACCATGTATATTAGAAACAGAAGTATATTAGATTATATTACACTTTCATATTACAGTTCTAGTGGATCGATTTTGGTGATGTTTTAAGCAATTTGTAGATACATTATTTGACTTTTTAGCTTCTTTCTTGACAGTTTGTTTTTTGGTTCATCTTAATATTGTTTTTGTTGGAGATATTCGTTTTAGAAGAATTTTAGCATTATTTTATTGTCGGTTACACTAGCTGATTTTAAGGCCAGAAGGTATATCGACTATCGTTTTAATTCAAGAAGGTAGAGATCAACTTCTATGCTTAAAAATCAAACCAAACCAAACCAAACAATTCCTACTAGAATAATTGCCAAATGATAATAATGCGATTTTTCAGAAAAAAAGTGCTATTAATACGCAATACTGTGGCAATTGACAGCGCCATTGTGGTAGGCAATACATATTAAAACATGATTAAAACCCCATAATTTGTTTTTAATAAATGTTCGAACTCAAAAAATAAAAAGCCTGTTAAAAGTGGAGTAAAATAAAATGCAGTGCAAAATACATATAATTAATATATTAATAATTAATTAATATTTATAAAATGTGTTCAATTTTTCTTCAGGCGGAAAATTAAACGTATTTCAGACTTTGCTACGATTCATTAGTTTTTGATGTAGGGGCATTTTTGTATCGAAACAAAAAAATCGTGATTTAAATATAATAAGTACATCTAAACATATTGATAAAATATACTTAGGATGATTTTAAACTTATGTTCCCATTTATTTGGAGTTACTGAAGTTTTTTATTTTAAAAAACATTTTATCTGTTGCACAAAGTGTATTTTCACCGGTCTTGATCGCATTGCTACAACACAAAATCAAAATATAGTAGTATAGTAGCTGAAGTAAATAAAATGCAATCTAAAAATGTTTGTATTTAGAATATATACGGGTGGTGAACAAAAATAATTGTTAACACAAGAGGAACAAAAATAATTGTTAGTGTAGTATTTTTTCTTTACTGTTTAGATAAAATGTTAATTTGAACGATGTTAAAAAAGAACACATTCAAAATTATTTCAAATCATTTTGTATAATTTATCTATTACAGAGAAAAAAATATGAATGATAGTTAAGTATTTTTTAGCTTTTCTTTTCTAAAAAACGACAGTTTCTTTCAAAATCTCTCAAAATTATTCAAAAAATTGGTACTCTTGTACAGATTTGAAATTTGACACACACGTTGATGTATAATCCAATTTTGAACAACTTTTAATATCTTGTTTCCTGTTATCCCTGCTAATCCAACTTTTAATATGATTACGCAGCAATAACGATAAAAAAAATATATTTCTTCAAAAGTTTTTGACAGTCAGTGTATATGAATGAATGTATATTTAAATTGATTTTTCTAATACTCAATGATAGTACTCAATGATTTTGTGTTAGTTAATTAGTCAATTTCAAGAGAATCCTATTAGATATACATTTATCAATTTTTGTTAAGTATATCATACCATATTTCTTCTTAAAAAAATAATTTTTGTTAAATGTCATTTGTTTAAAAAATCTGGGCAACGGCAACGGCCAGCTACGTCGATTCTGATTTTTTACTGACACTCAAGAAAAACTGCCTGAGAGACAGTATTATACAAATATTTTAATAATCATTTTCATAAAAAAAATAGTATCTACGTATATTGTTTTGCTAGGAGTAAAAATGAAACATTTTGTGGTGAGACACCAAAAGTCATTTTTACTACGACTTTCAAACGTACGAAAGTAATACATTATAAGTTTTTATAGTATATCGAGAAACCATGGGTATACTCGTTGAATTTGACACTTTATGTCAGTTAAATAATATATTTTCGTATTTTGAGCCTAGGCGCTTTGCCTAGGCGTTAAAATCACTTTTTGATATTGTTAATCACATCGAGAAAATTAATACTTTTCTGACGTTTGAAAAAATGAAATTGTTTTATTAGGAGTAAAAATGACACTTTTTGTGGCAAGACTGTACATTACAGGCAAGGCACAAAAAGTCATTTTTACTCCGAACAGAACATATATGCTATTTTTTTTCAACGTCACTAATAATTTTAAACAATTTGAAACGATGCAAATAATATAAAAAGATTTAAAAGTATTACTTTGTAAATAATTATGTATTGAGAAACTATGGTTGCACTCGTTAATTTTTTGTCATTTTATGACAATAATATATTTTCGTACTTTTGTGGTTAGGCTTGGCTTAGGCATAAAATTGCTGTACTACAATTTGTTGTTGGCACGTCGCAAAAATTAATACGTCTGTGACGTTTGAAAAAAAAAAGATTTTTTATTAAAAATGTGACGTTTGATTGTTATATTAGAGCAGCCCATATTTATTAATAAATACGAGTAATTGGTTAATAAAACAGTTGGCAAATGTTAAATTATGATTAATCTATCAAAATAATAGTATAGTGAATTATTTGATATAAAGTTATAAAACATCTGTATTTGTTTAAGTATTTAACGAAATAATATTTTGGTTAATGTTAAATTAATTTGTAACAAGGTGAATTGAGTCAGATAGTAAAAGCAAACGAATCAAGTTCAATCTAATAATAAAAGTTTGATTGAACAGCGGCTGGAAAAATTACTGATAATGGCTTATTAATTCCTTATCTGCCCTAAAAGAATAACTAACCAAATACTAATTTACTATAGAAATATTAAATGCAGATAAAAGATTATATAGGTATTTGTTGAAGGGATATTACCTACATATAAAACAAAGCGACTTTATTAGTGAAATTTATTATCCCTAGTAGTTTAGTATGAATTAAATTTGTGTTTGTTTTGAAGTACAATTACAATGATGTAGTTTAACAAAAACAAATAGCCGAAAAACATGCCTTTACAGTGATGGGCGGTGGGTAAATACCCAACGAGTAGGAAAATAACCATTTGGGTATATACCCATATATAATAATAATTACAATAGGTACATACCGAGTGCAAAACAATATAATGGGTGTTTGTCCATGTTACATTTAATAAAAGAATCGTCAAAAATTCTATTGAAGCTTTTTTATATTGTATTTCTATCTTCTATATGATTATTACTGTTACTAACGTTGCTGTACTGTGACGTCCTATTCATTTAATCATACGGGATAATATGTAATTAACATAAATATAGTTTTTCTACTGCTATCAAAACAAAATTAAACTTTAATTCGCAGGCTTTCAGTTAATTATACGAGTATATTAAAAATCGATATTTCAATTAACTACTAAAATCTACCTGTTAATTTATTCAATGTTCAAAAGAAAGAAAGGTATTGTATAAACACTGGATATTTATTTTTTGTTTTGTTCTTATTTAGCCTATCCATTCCTAGACTGGCCCAATACCCAGATCTAATATATTATATTGAATCGGCACTTATTTCTTTAAAATTTCAAGCAATAATCGGAAAAATTCTATTTGTAGTAAATTAAAATAATAACCCTGAACAAATAAGTGATTTCTTTTACCATAATAAACGTGAAATACATATATGCAAGACCGGAAGACCGTCTTGCATTTGTGCAACATATTTTTGTAACTTTTTTTTATTCTCATTTAGTAAGTTTGGACTTTTGGAAATCAAGAAAAGTGTAGTTCTCTGCAACACTTACAGCCAATATCCAAGCCAACTTGAAACGGTTCTTTAGCCACACAGTATATTTTTATTAGGTATATAAAACTTAAAACGTCTCTTTATCACACAGTATATATTTATTAAGTTAATTAAAATCACTAGCCATTGTTAATTAAAATAACTTTATCATCATTAAAATTATTAATCTGGGCTATCAATACCAAAGCGTAATTGTAAAAAATATTGAATATTATTGAATGTTTTTTAATTTCTAGGTATATAAAATAATCGATATGTACAGTTTAATACAAAATAATCGGAGACAAATAAAACTTATTTTAAAGAATCTAGATAAAAAAGAATGACTAATCGTATGATTTAAAATTATCAAGACTTTCCTTATCAGTATCAGTAAACTTGGTTAATTCACTATGTCATTCACAATGTTGGTTTGTTGCAGTTTTCAACAGTTTTATGCCAAGGTTATACAAGGGTGATATTTTCTTCTAATAATTATTAATTTTTTTCTTAATATTTGTGACGAGGACATCAAAATATGATATATGATATATATTCATATGTCCAACGTAACAAATTAATTTACCTTAACTCCTTGTATAATTAGTTAATGCTTTTATGGTTTAAAAAACAATTTTGTGACAATCCTTATAACCAAACGAAGAATAAAAATAAATATACAGGATAATTTGCCTTTTTTACAATTTCCCATCAATTAAAATATTTTTCACTTAGTTTGAATGATATAAAAAAAGATTCATTAAAGGTGAAAGAAAAAGCATTAAAAATATAAGTACAATTGAAAAAGACGATAAGGTTACAGACTATAGACTGCTTTTTAAATCAATCTGAAACCAATTTGTCAAAAATTGTTCGTTTATTAACTAATCAGTAACATTGTTCTTTTGTTAAATGTATACCTAGTGGGTAGTAGGTTTCGTTTAGGAGGTATTATTAAAAATATACTGGTGTTTCAATCTATTAGTTTTACCCTTGATTATGAATAAGACAAGGGTTTTACCTTAACCTAATACCCCCATTTTTTTATTATAAATTGATAATGTAAAGCCAATTTTAATATGTTTAAATATAAATCCTAAACTACTTCATTTCTTTATTAAATTCTATTATGTTTTAATAATTATATTAAAAAAAATTAAAACCTTTCAATTACTGAGTGTAAAGTAGTTTGAAACTTTCAAAAATTGCATTTTTTAAATAATATTTGTATTTGATATTTCATAGTTCTGTTCTGCCTAATAGATATTTTACTGGTATCGAAATAAAAATATTACAGTGCTAGGTGTCCCTATCTCTAGGCCATTATTTTTCAATAAAAAGTTAATGTTAATATTAGAATACAGTATGAATTAACGCGAGATCTTCCTAGAAGAGATAATTAAATATTTTGTCAACAAATGTACGAATTGAATTAACGAAAAAGTGCGAAACAATATTCAGAGGTGTATTATACAGGTTGTTAATTAATAATCCGAAAAAATTGACAGGTGATTGCTTTTTGAAAAAGAAAATGTGTTTTTCATATACAACTTTTAGTTTGGCGTTTATTATATAGCGTGGCCCGAAAACATATACATCTTAATCTCAATTGGCAAAAAATTTAAAAAATGTAATATATTTTATTACTAAGGGTATTTAAAAATGTCGATCTAATGCCTAACTGTATTTTTTACTAGTTTTAGTGTATAAAATATTCACGTATATTTTAACCAATAGCTACCTCCGTAAATATTGCAAAATTTGTACATAAAAATTTTAAATAAACTAAACTCTTCTGATTGCAAAAATTTTAAATTTCTTGTTTTTATTTCTTAACGGTTTTGTAAATATAAACAATTTTTGAAAACAAATCTAGGGGATCACGGAAATCACACATTTGAAATAACAGATAAAGACGGCCATATCTTATGGTAATAAATTTTGATCAATTAAGCCATGGAATTGGCAAGAATTTTTTTCGACAGGTTTTTGATATTTCGAAAATTAGATATGTGACAATTCAGACAAAACTCTAATATAATTTGTATAATCTTTGTAATATTTAAATTATAAAAATCTTTCATAATTTAAACATTTTCCTAAAACCAATAATTACGGAAATACCGTACGATCGAAAAAAAAAGGGCGTCGAAGACGGCTGATGATAATTTTGGCGAGGTCAATCTCTAGACGTCATTTACTAAAAATTGACTTAAAAATTAACACTAATTATAGAAATATTAAAAAAGGATAGAATGTTTCCGAACACACAAATTTATTTACAAAAAATTATTGTTTCTCGAATTTTAAATTATATCTACCATTTAAAACTCATTTTTACTCAATATAAAATAAATTGTAACCTTCTCAAGGCTACCTTCAAGGCTCTCTAACCTTCTCAGTAAGCGTCATTAAAAAATAAAAAAGAGTACAGACCCAGTAATGACGTCTAGGGCTTGAGCTTGCTAAAATTATCATCGATCGCCATTCCCAACCGTTTTTGACGCTGTTTTTTTTATGATACGGTAGTTATTGGCTGAAATATACTTGGATATTCTGAACAGTTCTAACAGAATTATTCATAATTATTTTTATTCTTTTTCTTGCTTAGTGTCCTACGTAGACAAAAATGTTTGTAAATTGACTGATTCACATTAAACATTTTTTTATTTCAAAACTAGTCAGATAGTAAAAAAAAATATTACAAGTGGAATAGCGATTTGCACATTCTGTATATGACCATAGCCAAATAAATTTCTAGTTAAAATCAAAGTGTTTTAATTTATGTTATTTACACACCTAATGTCAACAACTTGGTATGAACTGTTTTTGAAATAAATTCTTATTGACATTATGGTTCATCCTGTACAAGCAAATATCTTTCTAGTGAAACGTCAAATTCAAACATTTTATATGAAAAACCTCCCTTATTTTTAAAAGAGGACTCATTTGTTTTTTTTTCGCAATTTATTATTTACACATTGTATATTTAATTTAAAGGAGATAGAGAATGACATTGTAAGAAGAAAAATTGTTCCAAAGTGTTCTTTGATGAATCTGAAACTGCCTGCCCGTTTTCTAAATCCAGTGACTTTCTACATAAAATAGATACTGACAAAATTGCTTGCACGTTTTCTAAAACCAGCAAGTTTCATAAAATAGTAGACCTACCTGCATTGTTGCAAGAGACACAACTTATCCGCTATTTCCAGATCGTCGTACAGTAAAATAAAAATACAAATGAATAAGTTGAAAATTACAATCCGATACCTTTAACTTGTCCTTGGTCGGCCTCGGCGTTCTTCTCTTTAGTACCGTCGTCGTTTTGTCTTGCACATCGCTAGCGGTCCGATTCAAGTACGTCTTCTTTTCCTCCTTTTTCGCTGTTTTAATGCTTTGATGGTCCATACTCTTCCGCTCTTTCTGCCGCTGGAAATGCTGTTCATCATCAGTCTCGATGTCGCTGTAACCGCGAGCTTGTAGATCCTCGATCTCCTTCGAAGGTTTTATCGGATTCAACAAATTCTCGTCCGCTTTCAAAAAATCTTGTGACTGATCCCTTTCGGGCGGAGAGGGTTTCTTGAACTCCTTACCTGGCTTAGCAGCATTTTTCTGGGAGCGAAGAAGAAACTCGTCAAATTTACGAAAATTGTCTTCTCTGTTTTGAGTCTCTCCCAATTTCGAAATCAGATTTTCCACATGCGTCAGATGGCCCATAGTATTATCTACCGGCACATTGGAATTGGTAAGACTGGGTTTTGGATGTGAAGCCACTGAATCGATCGATTTCTTCGGTTTAACTGGATCTAATATTTGGTTTAATTGAATTTTATGAGGATGAAAACCGGGCGGTATCATTGCAGAAGACTCAGCCGTAGGAGTAACGTGGTATATGTTTACATCTTTATTTTTTTTCGACCATTTTGATTGCTGTTTGGGTGTAGTTGTAGGACTAATTGTAAAAGGCGGTAAGGGAATTTTATTTTGTCGATTCGACACCGTAATGTAACCGGTTAGAGTGTTCTCGTGTTTGTTGAGGTCGTTAGTTGCATTGCTGAGCATAGTTTTGGGCGCACCCATCTTTTCGCACGTGAGTTGTTTCAAAGTTGATGAAGATCCTTCAGGTCCATCGTTGGTACTTATAAAATGTCTCCAGTTTCTAGATGTTGGAGAGTTTTTAAATTCGCTCTGTTTTTGGTCCTCTGTTTTCTTGTCATGAGCAAGCGCTTTCGGTTCATCCACGAAATTGTGATTGATTTCCTTCAAATCTTTGCTAACGGATTCCATGTTTCCGTCAACAAACTTCGAACTGTTTTTAGAACTACCCGAATCACTGTCCGACCTGTTGCTGAGCCTGTCGCTGTGGTGAAATTGTTCCAACGTATCTCGAACCTTGGCACTAAGTGGAAACTTGTCGTGTTTCACTTCGTGAGTAAACGCGTCCTTGTACCGTTCACTATAATTTCCAGCGTTGGTGATCTTATCGCGTCTGTCCTTCAGCATCCTGATACCTAAGTCGTGCGGATTCTGTTTCCAGGGACTATCGCTAGGTTGATTCTGGCTCATTATTCAATTCTGTCGAAGCAAAAAACGTGTTAGAGAAGTATGAAGGGTGCCACTAGCGAAACGCCCTTGCCGACACACAAAGCTAAAGCCGCGTAGGTCCTAACGGGCCGAAAAGCGACGGGACATGATTAGACAACACACAACATTGAAACATAGAGGACGTCACACGCCAGCCAGTTTAAATGATCGGATTAAATCGTTTTTATCTCTATCTCTCGAACGGCTGATTTTCGAACTTATTTACCTGATAAACGAGCGAGGAGCCATAGTTTCGCAACTATAGTTTCGCGGATACATGACTGCGAATAACTAATAGGTTTGTTTCGGGTAACAAATTGAAACGTTCCAGTTCTGAAAATGCACTAAGTTTCGATGAAAAGGTTAACTCGAGAGGGTGTCACGTGTCTTATCAGCTAAATGAAATTGCGCGTCGCGACGAACTCAGAAAAATAATTTTATCAAAACAATCGAACGATAGATACTGACTGCCGAGATATAGAAATTGAAAAAAGATACACATGTTAATTGTGTGTATTACGTTTCCCCAAGGTTAACAATTATCGATTGTCGAGCTGGATTGTCGGTTTCAGCTGCATTTCGAACCGAGATTGTACCGCGAACGGGCGAACCATTCGTAAAGAAAACGTTTTTTTCTTTAATCTTCAATTTCAAATGATTCAAATTTCCCTGAAAAACAAAATGGCGGCGCGACTTTCTTTAATTCCAAGCGTTAAGTAAGCAATAAAAATGATGAGATAAGATATAATATATTTAGATAAAAATCCTTTTCAGTTATATCTATTAAGTTTTATGATAAACGCAAGCATATTTGAGTGGATTATCCTTCAGAGGACCCAAGTCAATTTAAGATTTTGAGCTACATCGGAACTATTCATCTTATGTGTCCTGCAATATTGTATTTCATTTATTAGAATTAATATTACTATATAATTAGTTACAATACAAAAATATGCCAAAAAATAAGACAAAAGCAACAATTTGTTGCATTAAGTTGTAAACTAGTACAATGAGTAGAATGATTTCTTGAGCAAAATTGATTTACAATTTTAATTTTAATGTTATTTTGAATCTAACTGCATAATACAGGAACAAATCAATATTAAATTTATATCTTATTTTTGATATCTTAATGACAAATAAGCAGAACAAAAATAAATAAACCTTGAGCGTTTTCAGAAGTTTTTACTAATAGGTATATTTCACAATAATGTTAGAAACTTTTCTTCAAATTCAGATTATTTCTTTGCTATATTCCAACTACAATAAACAAAAACATTATTCAAAGCAGTAAATCTTTTATAATTTCTTAATTAAATAAGGAAATATAATGATAATATAATTCCTTCATTATATTAGAATATAATGATCAGCTATTGATATCAAATAAAATAAAAATAAAAAAATATATCATAGAACAGACGTCATACTATTTTCTCACTCATTAGATTGCATTGAATATTGAATAGATACAAAAATATAATCGATTTTGATTAAATATTTATTTGTTTTATTTCAATTTAATTTAGATATAATTATTTTTCGCAGTATTAATATACATAGAGTTTATCAATAATTGTTTGTTTATGTATAATCAATCCAACCAGAGAATATGACACAGTGACAGGTGTGATTTTAATTCACAGATAAATTATATTTTCTGACAATGTTCCATAACATGTTTGTTGTTGTTTCTGTCAACATGTTATAATAATATTTGATAACATTTGGCTTACATTTTCAAAAACTAATTAACTTAATTGAACACAAGTCTAGGCCCATATTTATAGTCGAATCTCAAACCGCGACTCCAGTCACGAGATGAAAAGGTCCGACAAAAACAACAGGCTTACTAACAGGCTGCCTGTTATTTTTGGCGGACTTTTCTGATACCCAGATTCGAGACGTGACTATAAATACGGGTCCTAGTGTGTCCAACGAGAGGATCCGTGATACTGTCAGTTTCACGCCTTTCAAAGCAAATTAGACGCTGTTTATTCGATCATATTATGGTATGAATTGGTTAAATGCCTAAGTCATATATGATTTTTGTTGGTATAATTTATAAAGCTAAAAATTAACAATCTGCTTTAAACAGTATAACAGCAAATTAAAAAAAAAATTGTTCAATATATTCAGAAAATGTTACTCGGACATAATGAATGGATACTGTCTTATTTTGTATTACCAACAATGTTTGTTTTTTAAGCAGTGCTTTCAAGCCAGTCAGATACTTATGTTAATTGCCGTTAAGAAATAAGGTAATCACTTCTTAATATTCTGTTTTTCTTATTTATTATCACTCATCAAAGCAACATCATAACTAAAGATGTTTTAAACAACAATGACAGTTCTAGACTAAATTTATTTAGAAGAAATATGATTATTGCCCATATTAGATAAAATAAATAACTTCATTATATACGAATCATCATACCATACGATCGAAGAAAAAATGGCTTCACAGTAACCTCTGAAATAATAATCGCTTAATTTTGCTGGGCAGGCCCATATATACAATTTATTAGAAATCGCATAAAAACTTGTAAATTATAATAAGTAAAAATGTTTCCTGCACACACAAATAAAACATAATCGAAAAAAAACGGCGTCACGGATGGCTTTGGAAATGAAAATCGCTGTCATTTTATAAGTAAAATTATATGGTGAATGTAATCGATCGTCATTTCACTACCAACTAAATGGCGTTTTTTCAACCATATTTTTTAAGTTTTTATGTCATATTTTAATAGGAACTAAAATCGATTATTATTTCTAAGACCACTACAAAAGCCGATTTCTTTTCGATGGTATGATGCATGCAATTGGAGAAATATTCAATCAACTATGACCTTAATTAAATGATACTTAGCAGAGAAATGATAATACGGCACTAATTGGAAAATGTAATCACCCCACTAAAAAATAATATATCGTCAGAGTAAAGGAAGTGCACCTAATTAATTTACAATTAAATCCAAATAAACAAAGAACCTTTAAAACAAAGAAGAATTTAAATACCAGAAAATGCGTAAACTCATTTTTTTAGACACATGGCAAATTTAAAGGACGTCACAGTAATCGGAAAAAAGTTATATACGCCATTGACTAAGTTTATATGGAATTTTGTTGCCTATATCAAACCTATATGCTGTGTAAATATATACAATGAATATTTTAATAACAAATGCATATTTTAATAATGAATCACTTGGGAATGACACTTTGGTCACCTTTACATTTGAGGCGTTCAATAAATAGTATCGTAATAAAATATATTATTCAACACATAAATTACTATACTTTGTGTACATAGTGACAACTGACGATATAATTAACATTTTACAACATAACTGTTGTTTTGTCTACACACAAAAATAATATGGATATATTACAGCCCTTTTAGTAAACTTTGCTTATAATGGTCAATACGTCCAGTACAATAAGATAAGAATAAAGAAAGAGAAAGCATAGCAAGTATTTTCCCAAGCCCTTGAAATCTAGTTTCGGATTAAGTGGTTATGTAATATATACTTAGCATTTTTCTCTCTTCGACTTACTAGAGCGCCATAGCCATTGACTCCTAGGCCAGTATTTGTAGTAGTATCTTGAAACTGGGTCTCAGAAAAGGGACCGACAAAAATAACAGGCTTACTAGGCGCGTTACGGATGACGAAACGTAAGCCTGTTATTTTTGTCGGTCTTTTCTGAGACCCAGTTTCGAGACGCGACTATAAATACGAGCCCTAGACATGTAAGCACCGACTCAAGACTTCGCTTGCCGACAGGGTATATCTTTTGTGACATCACCGTCGCGTTTATACAATCGTATGGCTCTTTTAATATTAATGTATTATTGACAAATCAAAATAAACGAATGGACAAATGCTATACAAGTTCATACCAAATAAACTTTTAGTCAAGTTATTAAGCTGGCAATGCTTTGCCCACTTTTATATATTTTCTTTTAATCAAAATATTTTAGGAAACAAAAATAAATTAATTATAAATATATAAACAGTTATTGTTTACATCAACAAAACTCACCTTCTTAACAGCACTTAAAGGACATAAAGGGCTATTACTATCGCTTTCCCGTTCAAAATATTCTAATAAAGTTGCAATGAGTTTTTTACGGCTATTAAGCTATCTTCTATACTTCGCACTAAAAGAGGTTCTAAAAAGAACAATGTTCGACTGCAAGGTCTGCTACTAAAGTATCACAACACTATTTATTTAAACTAAAAACTCGTAATACAAAACTAAAGCGTCAAAACGAATAACAACGTCAGTAAATGAATAAATAAATGACCTGAATCCCCAGCGCGAAATTTAAATTCTAGATAGTCAACCCGGCGCCGGCGCCGAATATGTCCATGGTTGGCAACAATGAATTTATAAATCGCGCCCTCGATTACGTAACTAAAAGTTTGATTTGAAATATACTTTGGTTATACCTTATTAATTAGTAATGCACGACTAATTTTCTTTTTCAAATTCTAAACTTAAATATAGAAAAATCGCACATAATATATTTGTCAAATAATATAAAAATAAATGGAGAAAAATCACACTCGCATATTTTTCTAATGTGATAAGTGTGAACTGTGAAATTTTACAACATTATTATAATACATTACAATGTTAATAAATTCTAATTGAAAAATATTTCTTTAAATTAAATTTTATAGAGATTTCCAGCCATTTGCTAATTTAAAAAAAAATGTGCACAGTCTACCGATTGAATGTAACTATTACATCAAGTAATAACAGCATATCATATACAATGTGCTCAAAAAGTTTTATAACTACTTCTAAAATCAACTTGATATAAATCGGCCCACTAGAACAAAATATATTAAACTTTAAAATGTATGACAAGTTTAAAATGCCTTTTTTATAACTACGCGTGTATTTAGCAGCAATTATATTAAATTCCTTCATCATTAATTAATCTCAGTTAACGTAGATTTTCGTTGACCCTTGATTTG